TTTGAAAATTCAAAATATTGAAATTGAGCTACCAACAGTACAGAGCCTTTGTGACAAGGCTAAACACTTACAGCTGGATAAGGGGTTAAACATTTTGTCCAATGTTCATGTCGATTCCTTAAAAACGTTTGGCAATTTTCGGAGCTCTCACAGTGCTAAAGTGAGCAATTAACCTAATTAAACAATAAAATTAAACAATTCTCCTCCGACAGTTGTAGTCTATACCAGTTTCAGTGTCTCAGCTGTTAAATTTACAGGATCTTAATATTTTAGTCACTTTTAGTCACTTTGCAGAGGAAGTCTTCATATTCTAAGCTGAACAAGAACATTGTCCATTTTTTACGTGACCATAATTTGCTTGGAATAGAGAAAAAGACATTTGGTAATTCATTGCCACATTCACCTAGTGCACTGTCTTGTATCAAGTGTTCTAAGAAGATAATTAAGTTATTTGATAAGAGATTTATGCAAATATCTCAATTACCTGGAATGAAGGCGGCTTGCTTTGAAAATAATTAAAGTAGATACAGGTGCTTGCCAAATATTTGTGTTATTTCTTACAAGAAGTAAGTTTATCTATTATTCAATACATACTGCAGAATATTCAGTGGAACATTACACAGGTGGTTTATTATTCAATGGTATATGGAATACACTTGATTATATTGTTTATCTAATTTAATGCTAAATCAAAGAGGCGTTTTAAACTGGAATGAAATGAAGACCTACATAAGTACCAGTAAATAAAATTAATGAAAATTTTAGCACACTTGACTTGAGGTTTTCCAGGCTATTGACACAAGGAAATTACTGTATCTGAATAAAAGCATATGTGTTACATCATATGTTACCCCACATGATGCTGGTGGTAGATTTATGTCAACTGTGATTTATCGTAGATATAATTTTATAGACAATAAAAAGCAGTTACTGTTAAATCCTAATGGGCAATAATATTTTCATGGTAAAAATATGAGATAAGATTTCACAAAGGACTGTCTGCAAGAAGAACAAAAATAATAACATTATGCTTATTAGAGAGAATAAATTAAATAGCTTTCCTAAATGATTATGGTATGTTCATATTATCCCATCGCCAAAGGTGAAGGGGATATTAGAAATAGTCTTTGTCTTCACTAAGTTTTGTGTGGAGCATAACACCAAAGTCTTCTAACTTTAAACAGTGACAGAGAACTTTAAGAGGAAGTGCATTGTGCAAGTACAATAACTCCATCTTGCCAACTATTACAGTTATTCCCCTTTATCAGATTTATTTGATAAACTTTGTCCAAAGCATGACGCCTTAAGAACTTGAGGGATTTTCTTCAAACTTAATACACTGACAAAGCACATTGGTAGAAATTGCAGTGTGCAGGAACAATACATCTACATTGCCTTCTCTTAGAGTTATTCCCCTTTTTTCAGATTTACTTGGAAAAAAAACCCTGAGCATAACTCAATATACTTGAGTACTCTTCATCAAACTTCTTACACTGACATAAAAAACATCAAAATAAATAAATCACATATACATTACGAGATATGCAAACTTTCGCTTCATTGTCTTATTCTTTTTCTACTGGCTTGAAAAAAGTACAACCTTCAACCGGCAAGGGAATTAACCATGTGTAACATATTCATGCCTTTTATGAATCATATCATTTTTCCATCATTTTGCCAAAGGAATCTAAATATACTGAAGAAAATTGGTTGGAACATTAGTGATAATATTGTCTATTCTAATTAAATGTTAGAATTCTTTCAGAGAAATCATGGAATGTCAGAAATGAGAGATATCATATGTTTTACATAATTCATAAAATCCCTGGTAAATAATCAAACAGTTTCCTTTACTTTTCTCCAGTGATTTTCAGCAGGCTCCTTAGATCAGACATGAAGCAGCTATTTAAATTAGGGGTATTTTCTTTGATGCTTTGTTCAGTGTTTCACGGAACATGCCTCCTCATACTGGAGATCTCCACTGGAATCCACTTTAAGGTCTCCACCTAACTGTTGGATATCTGTTTAGCAAATGATTTAATGACAGCACCTGTAGAAGTGCCTTTAAACACCATCGACCAGAAAACTATCAAAGTATTTATCCTGATATACATTATTTAATTGGACAGGTCATGTATGGAAAAATTAGCTTCCAAAATTTTGAGGTTTCCTTGCTTTATATGTATTAGTAACTTGATCTGCTTAGAATTTGATCTGTCCATTCTTAGTATTGCCCTACTTTTTCCTTGAATCTGAGTAGACCTTAATTTGAATATTTAATTACTTAATAGCTATTAAGAAAACATTAAATATTTTAAACATCTATAGTAGTTTCCTCTGTCAAATTTTGGCTGTTTCAATCATTTATTTCTTTGCTTTTTAGTGGCTAACTATTTCTTGATTTAAGGAGTTTTAATAAATAGTCAAATCAGCTTACAGGTAGTATTTAATTTAGGGTTAGTTATATATAGGCATGGCCTGGCACAATGCTCGTATCATAGGCCAATTAAAAATGGCCAGAAGAGTTCAGAGAGTAAATTTTCTATGCTTAAGGGGTGGGAGGGTAAAATATAATTAGTTCCGCACCAGATTTTTTTCATATTTTATTCTTTGAGAGAATCTCATGAAATTCCCCCATCTGTTCCAGTAATTGAGTCTTTTTTATGTGTAATTAATTAACATAAGTAAGAACATGTCTTACTAGATTTTGTAACATAAGAGCTTGGGCAATTTTTTTTCAGCCCCATTACATATCTAATTGAACAAAAAATGTCTTAATTATACTTTAATATCTATAATATTTATTAATTTGAGTAAACAATGTTGTTTTTTATTTTATCTTTACATTTTTTTTTAGACCATTGTGTTTTTTATTATTTTTATGTTTTCTCATAAAGAATGATTATTTAACTCAGCAATTTTCTAGCTATAGACTGGCATGATAATGTTATCAGATAGTTCCTACTGACATGAATTTATGATAGAAAAAAAATGCCAGGTTGAAAGCAGAGAGTTACAGAGTCTGTTTTTGTTATGTTGTTTTTGTGCAAAAGAAGCATCAATTTATATATATAGAATAATCCACATTGTTTATAGGCCCTGTCTTATTATCTAGTCTGTTTTGATAAATGATGATATTTTTGTTATGTCATATCTATGCACTAGTATTTTTCCTCCCTAGAATATTCTGATTTTAGAAGTAAGACATAATAAAAACCACTGACATACTTTATTTATCTGGTATTTTGTTTAAGAGGCAAAAGATTGAATGCTGTCAAAAAACAATGCTGTTTTTATTGTGTCGCCTTGAAAAGGTGACATATAGGGGTTACTCTCGTCGGCGGTGTCGGCGGCGGCATCGGCGTCGTCGTCGGCGTCGTTGTCGGCGTCCCCTAAAGCTTGTCCGGAGCATAACTCAGTCACTATAAGTCTGATTGACTTCAAACTTGGTATGCATGCTTCTTTCAATAACCCGAAGTGCAGTGCACAAGGACCGGTACTCTGCAGGTCTTATTTTTTGAGTTATTGCCCTTTGTTAATTTTCATACATTAATTTTGTCCGGGCCATTTCTCTTCAACTAAAAAAGCTATGGACTTGAAACTTCATAGGATGATAGATCTCATTAAGAAGAAATGCAGTGCACAAGAACCAGTACTCTGCACTTCCTAATTTTTGAGTTATTGCCCTTTGTTAATTTTCATACTTTATTTTTGTCCGGGCCATTTCTCCTAATGTATAAAAGCCATGGACTTGAAACTTCATAGGATGATAGGTCTCATTAAGAAGAAGTGCAGTGCACAAGAACTGGTACTCTGCATTTCTTATTTTTTGAGTTATTGCCCTTTGTTTATTTTCATACTTAAATTTTGTCCGGGCCATTTCTCCTTAAGTATAAAAGCTATGGACTTGAAACTTCATAGGATGATACATCTCATTATTAAGAAGTGCAGTGCACAAGAATCCGTACTCTGCATTTCTTAATTTTTGAGTTATGGCCCTTGTTAAATTTCATACTTTATTTTTGTCCTGGTCATTTCTCCTCAAGTATGAAAGCTATGGACTTGAAACATCATAGAATGATAGATGTTATTGATAAGAACTGCAGTGTACAGTAACTGCTGCTCTGCACTTATTTTTTTAGTTATTGCCCTTTGTTATTTTTCATATTTCATTTTTGTCCTGGCCATTTCCCCTAAACTACATTGTTCACAAGGCGACACATCCGACTCGCGGAGTTCTAGTTAGTTTTTAGATACCAAGAAAATTCCATGACTTTTTTATGCTTTTATATATATTGTATTCTAACACGACCCGCATTTTTCCCTATTGAACATAGAAGAACCGAAGGTGTGTGTTATTATGCTATAAAATCACTGTTTGGCGTTCTATATTTAGACATGTGACGTAATCATTATATACGTGACGTAACCACTAAAAATGTGACGCGCTGACAATAAGTACGGAAACAAATCAGGCGTAATTTAGCTTATTATCATGTACTTCAGCATTTATTTGTTGATGTCGTGTTAGAATCAAAATAATATATCCAAATCAGTGATTTTATTGCTTGATAACATCACTGTTTGTCGTTCGGATGCGCATCATTATATCACTCGGGCTACGCCCTCGTGATATAATTCCCCGCATCCGAACTCCAAACAGTGATGTTATTGAGCAATAAAATCACAGTTTGGGATATATTATTTCTTAATTTGTCTACCTTTCAAGATAACAAATTGGCATAGTTTTTTTCAAAGGTATACATGTCGTCAGTTGCTTTTGTGTATCATCTGCTGATTGGTCTTGTCAGTGTAGCTAACTAATCCTTAATGACAACAATGACTTACCTATGATTAATTTATGTCTTGCCTAAAAGCTTAAACATACTATACCTTGTATCACCATGTATATTCAGGTACCATGGCAGTATTACTTCAGACTAGTATGTCACTAAGATACTGATTGCAGTATTAATTATGGATGTATTTTCTACTTTCAGGTGGGAATTCCTTGAAGAACCAGCCATTTCACCTAAACTGGGGATGGATCTCATTCAAGCATGCCAGGCAAACTGTTAACGAGACACAGGGAACACTTCTGGTCATGCTCCAGCGGCGTGGATTCCTTGCTGAAACTTCCTTTGTCAGTGAGTAGTACAAATCATTTATATCCTACTTTTATATGAAGAATTGTGACTACATAATATCTTTGATGAATAAATGTCAATGCTCTTGTTCTTTATTATTTTTATGTTGACTTTTTCTTTCAATGAACGTCGGCTAATAAGTTTCCCAGCATTTCATTTTATCATTATAATTCTTGTTAATAAAAAACAATAAATAATAATAATGATTCCAGTAAGTGCACTTATTTTTTATTTATTAATAATGAATGTTAATTAATTTTACATTTTCTGGCATTCTTGTCAAGGAACGTGGGCTTATAATCACAAGTATTTGTATTCTTTTATGACTGAATGTTGATTAATTTTGCAGCCATCAATGTAACTGAGAGAACAGCAAGCATTGGGAAAGATGTTTCCAGACAATATTCCGAGCAAGTACAGTTTAATCCAGGTACAGAAATATATATCTATTGTTCCTTACATAACTATGAAAAATACTGAAACATAAGTAAAGTTCTGTTCTAATAGTTCTGTTTAAAAGCATAAGTGTTGATCGATTGACCAGCTAATTCCTTTACTTTATGGTTTGAATCCCAAGTCGGAGAGCTTTATGGTCAATTCTTGTTCATATACATTTAAATTATGGTTGGAGTTGTGAAGTCACTGGCATCAAGTTCACTAGTGCTACTTGCTCAGACAGCCTTCTGTTAAGGACTGATGTATTACTTCAATTGGTCTTTGGAGTCAAGGGGTCACTGGGGTCAAGGTTGCCATTGCTTAAAAAAAAAGATATTAATTAAATTTGCTCATACAATGTTATTTGATTGATCAATGTCTTTTGTGATTAGTAGTTACACACCTTGGGTGCTCTTCTCACTTGCCACGGAGAAAGCCCTTACCTGGGTGAAGGTCACAGTACTAAAAATAGATTTTTACACTTTTACTCATACACCCATTATTTATTGGGTGATGTCTTGAAATACACTGACAGATGTGCAGTTTTGGGGAGCATCAATCACTTATTATAGAAAATTTAGCTTGTGTAGAAATACTGCTGCATTGTATATTTTACCTGTTTAAAAACAACGAGGTAGGCCTTTATAAAAGTGTTAAAGGAAATACAGGTGGTATTTTTACTATGTTCACATACTGTACATCCTGTTTTCTGAGATAAGCTCTCAAGAAAAGCTCATAATAAGCTCTAAGAAGGCTTATTTGGCCAATAACTTCTGCTACAGATAGTTGCTAGAAATGATAACCTAAATTAATAGAAATAGGTATGAATACATCTTTGATGAAATTTACTGGGAAAATAGTTTAAAAGCTGATTGTTAACAATAAAGAATAGTATATTATACTGGTTATGATGTGTTTTGATAATATTATAGGATGTTTAATGATAAAACAATTGTTTCTAAACAAAAACGCATTCAATTAAAAAATATGTACATTATTTTGCATCAACTATGCATTATATATCCTTCATCTCACCATTCCTTTTCAAACACACATCTGTGGCTTTATAAGAGAAGGCCAGAACTAAGAATAAAGAGAATCCCTTATTTACCAGAAGATTGGTCAAAGGCTGTGTTGCTGTTCTGAGTATTTTTTTTATTGCCATAACAAATATGTAATAAATGATGTTGTTATTCTTTTCAGGTGAAACAGTGAAGCCATGGAGTTTACGTCTCAGAAATGATGATATTTATGAAAGAGAAGAGACCCTGATTCTTCAGATGACAGACCCTGTTTCTGCTGTCCTTGAATACCCTGATGTTGCCATGATTACCATTGTGGATCCTGAAGATGGTATGCTCAAACTTAGTATTATTGACGCAATTCTATTACCGACCTATTCCAGATATTATGCAATTGCAGAAGTTTATATTATTTAATTTGATTTAACAAGATAAGCAATTTTTATACACAAAATATAAAGTTCATCAATGAAGTTCATTGCAGACATAGAGTAAACATTAAGTATGTTGATAGTACAAGGTCTCATGCCAAGACTTTGATTCTTAAAAGAATTGAATGATTACTTCACCTACCTAATATGATAAACAACCTAACTGTTGCATATGATAACTGTAAACAATAAATGTTATATTTTCACAGAGTCAACAGTTTTCTTTCCTGAAGTTTTATACAGTGTAGAAGAAAAGACCTCCAAGTTGGAGATCCCAATATTCAGGACTGGAGATTTGTCAGACGAATTTATGGTCATATGTTATACAGCAGAAGGTAAATGTTTGTTATATGTAATCTCAGAGCAATAATTATTTACCTTTACCTTACTAAATTCATTAAATGAGACCACTCACAACTGTCAATTGCATCTGATACACAGGAGATATGAGTTTCAAACATTTACACGGTCTTTCAATGCTTTTCTATGCCATTAGGCATCCTTGTGTGAAACGTTGCAGTTTTGTTGCTATTGGCCAATCAGAAGACTCATTACAAAATATCGAACAGCTGATTGACAATGGCGTAGAAAGGAATCTACAGACCGTGGAAAGGTTTGAAATTGAGTTTCGCGTGTATCAGATGCTACTGACGGCTGTGAGTGGTCCAACTTACTGTATTTAGTAATATTATTTAGTAAATTCAAGTGATTTTGACCCGTACTCAGCTGACAAACATGTATTAGTCTATGTTTACGTACCGAATCGTTGTGCCGCAATTTTGTCTACCAAGGATTTCTAGCACGAAATTTCTCGTTTCCCGATAGATATTTCATGCACGGGAAGGGCTAGATACTTGGGGTTGGTCTCATTAAGAAGTTTTATACAAAGGTGAAATGGTGATAAAAATTTTTTTAATTGTCTGGCCAATTGTTTCCACAACGGCCCGAAAATGAATACCGTGCCCGTAGGCTCGAGTCTGGAGTTTCCAGCCTCCTCTTAACTTATAGTATATTTTTAGCTCGACTATTCGATAAGAATAAGTAGAGCTATTGTAGTCACCCGAGCGTCGGCGTCTGCGTCGGCGTCGGCGTAACCACTTATGTTAAAGTTTTTGTAATAGTTCAAATATTTAAGTCCATTGACATATGGCTTTGAAACTTTGCACACTTGTTCACTATCATGACTCCAACCTGTAGACAGGAGGAGGTAACTCTATCAAGCATTTTGACAGAATTGTGCCCCTTTTTCGACTTAGAATTTACGTTAAAGTTTTTGTAATAGTTCAAATATTTTCAAAGTCCATTGACATATGTCTTTGAAACTTTGCACACTTGTTCACCATCATGACCCCAACCTGTAGACAGGAGGAGGTAACTCTATCAAGCATTTTGACAGAATTGTGCCCCTTTTTCGACTTAAAATTCACGTTAAAGTTTTTGTGATAGTTCAAATATTTTCAAAGTCCATTGACATATGGCTTTGAAACTTTGCACACTTGTTCACCATCATGACCCCAACCTGTAGACAGGAGGAGGTAACTGTTTCAAGCATTTTTTTTACTATCAAGCACTAAGAATAGTCGAGCGTTGCTGTCCTACCGACAGCTCTTGTTTAAAGGGGTCATTATTTACTTCTTTTTTTTTGGTTTTTGACCTTTTAAGATGAACACAGGTTATTTTATCAATCTGGTCATATTTTTTCTTCCCAGGTCCGATACTCGTGCCTGTGGACTGAATAGCAAACAGTGGAGACCATGATCAGATGGCACATAATTATGTACCTGCAGATCTTTGTCATCACTGGTCACATGTGTAGAATCTGTTGCCAGCAGCTGGCTCAGAGTTACTTTACTTACATGGCTTCTAAAACAGTACATGATTCATGCTGTTGTAAATTCTTTATCTGTTTTGAATCATAGGCAAAAACATTCCCCAAAAATTGTTGTATTTTTGATTTACAAGTTGTAAAATAGAAAACATATCACATGATTTGTCATGATAATGTTTGATAGACAGATGTCAATCTAATAAAAAATAATGAATAGTTTTCTTGGTGCACAAAACATGTGCAAATATACTTAATTCTAGATACATCGAAATTGATACTACACTGTGCTATGTAGAGAATGAAGATTCTCTGTAATTTAAGAGTGTAGTTGGCCAAAATGTGTCCTTTAATTACCAGAACATGTCTTTTAACTATGTCTTTAACTATCAATATGTGTTTTTGATCCTAAATATTTGAAACTAATCAAGCCTGTTTCAGGAGGTAATCAAATGAATAAACAGTCATATTGGAGCTCAAAAACTTTTAATTTAAGACATTAGACAATTGTTTGTCATCACTGTCATGACTTGTTTCTAAATATAATCTCACTATAAACCAACAAGGCTTTGGGTTAATAAAAAAAATTAGTAATCACAATCTTTGAGTTAAAGTTAATGAAAATAGAAATTGCTTGTTGCTTGAATTAATCAAGATATCATAAATCAAATGTAAAGGAACAGATTAAATTGGAACAAATTTTGCGAGCTAAATGTTATAAGATGCACAAGAACATTATATTCTGGTAAGTTGATTAGATTAGGTCTGCTGCATTTGTTGTTTTGCTAATGAAGTTTTCTGGAGAATGCCACTTGAACATTGAGATGCACATAAAGAGCATTTTTTTTGTCTTATTAGCTTATTAAGTTTATTAGTTTTATTAACATACAATGATAAAAAACAAACATAATTAGGTATGCTTAATCTTTTTTATGATTTAATTTTTTTTCTGAAAGAAGGAAAGAACATGTTTAAGTAGGTTATAATTTTATTTTCTTTGAACGATAGCTTAAAATGTGGGTATAAAATTCTTTTCTTCAAGCACTTTATCAAAGTATAGTAAATCTTTGTCTCTTTTATCTTTATCCTGAACTTTCAGTTATTTCTTTCATCGTAATTTCTTTCATCGCTTCACATGTGTAGTACAAACATAATTAGGGATTTTCCTATTTTCGATAAATTCATGCCGACCTCTGTTCTATGTCAATGTTGTTTTGTTAACTACTCTATTGAAGAATGCTGTACTTTTATTTTGGAAGAAGGTCCTCTGAGATCCAAAAGTGTAGAAATGTAAAATTTAAAATCCTTGAATAGATCAGGGCAATTAAAATGGATAAATATGTAATAGATAATAAAGAAATGTATTAAGTGTATTACCAATTTTCATGTTTCAAGTCATTTTGCACAATTGAAAACATGAAATATATGTATAATTTAAAAAAAAAAAAAATGACTGCAGCATGAAAAGCAAAAATTCAAAGAAAATGAAATGACTGAATAGTGAACAGTGCAAACGATGCCCAGACACATGAATCTGGTGGCTAATATTGGTCTGCACAGGTTGCATGGGTAGATTCAGTGGCCAACACCAGGCTAAGGGCTTAATGTGCAGGTTGGGTTTGAAACCTATAATTATTATTATAAATAAAAATCTTCTTTTATTCATCTGCAGGCACAGCTAGAGGAACACCGCCCAATAAGGTCCAGTCCTATTCTGACTACATCTCCAGACCCAAGGACCACAACAGTATGATCCGATTTGATAAAGGAGAAGACAAGAAAATGTGCACAGTCACAATCATTGATGATACACTGTTTGAAGAAGAAGAAAGATTTTCATTGGTTCTTGTTCAGCCAATGGGAGGCAAGATAGGGAATAAAAGAGAGACAGTGATTGTGATTGGACAAGACCCAGTTGATGGTATTACTTTAATAAAAGCACTATATACTCTTAATTCTTTAATTACATACAAGAAGTAGTTCACTTAAAGATTTTTTACTTCAAATAATTATTTACAAATTAATATAAATTTACTTGACTTCTTTTCAAGGTCAAGGTCTCTGACTTTGAAACACTTGTTCTTGATTGCAGTAGGTCTGAATTCTGCCAGAGACTAAGAATTTGTTCATTTGAGGAAACTATCCAATAAGTTTAAGGAAGGTTGATGGTTCTAGTCGTCAGTAATGCTTGAAAGCCACCACATTACCTTTCTTAAAGTGATGTTATACTCATTGACCATTATACATGCAATGGTGATTGCCCAATATAGTGTACATGTAGTTGATATTGAAAAATGTTTAGGATAAAACGTATATCTGTCGTAATTATAAAAAGACTGCCCTACTCTTTTTATAAATTGAACATTACAGGTAAATTCTGATGGACATTTATAGAAATTTTCTTTGGCCATGGGAGCTATTTATCTTTCATGCAAAATAAATTATAAAATTGAAAGGAATTATGGCAAAATGTAAACCTTTTTACTTTCACCTATCCGCTCACTATATACCCTTGGATTGGCATTGTCACTTTAATACCCTCAAGATGGAAGAATGAATTGTAAACTGCAAAACAGTAGCTTGAAATGACTGTATCATCTAAGAAAGTTTATTGCATTATATGGAATACGTTTCACCTTAAATGTTAACTTTTCTTGGTGAAACATTAGTTAAAAGATTAACACATACAAAATTTAATTACCAAAATGTCAACTACATCAGACTTGTTTAAATTTGTCTGTTTTTATTTGAAAATTTAAGAAATTTGGCAGTAAATAGATCTAATTGGTTGAGGCTTTTAGGGGACTCTGAAAATGTGAATACCATATCAATCAAGTCAAGAACGTATATTATCTGAGATAATAAACTTGCATTTTTTTATACAAAATTGTTGATATTCTTGATTTTATTATACAGAAATTCCTTAAAAATATTTTTTTTATTGCTCTGAAAAAATAAATTACCAGAATTTTTTTTTTAAACAGACAGGAACTTTGGTAATGCACTGCTTGAAAAGCCATAAATTGTTACATGTTTTGTGAATGTATGGATTTGATATAGAAACATTTGAGATAATGATATCCTCCCTATCTTTGAATCATCTCTACTGTAGACAAAACTTCCACATTTTTTTATGTAAAATATCTCCAGTGCACCAAATGGTTTACATAAAGGGAATGTTTTTACTGATTACAATATCAAGTTGTTTTATAACAAACAAAGACAAGTGCTGTAAGAGTCTTGAGTGCTTTCATTCATTCAGTATTTTTTTTCTTTCACTGGAACATTAATCTGTGTTGGATTTAATACATTTTTTCAGCTCATCCGATTTTCTTGTCTGAGATCTTTCATCCATTCAGTAAGACAGAAATTATATGGAACATTAGCTATTATTATGAATAATCATTTGTGTTTGTAAGAGTTATCTCCCTTCTCAAAGAAATGTTGAGATACTGTCAGTCTCTAATAGGCATTATATCCTCAGTGGATGAAAACAGGCCTTGTTTCTTTATAAAATTACAACTGATAAACAGAGGCATTCCCATTTCTAAACATAATTATGGTTGTTGTTTTTTTCCCAACTGAGAAACATAAAATTGCCAATTATCTGTTGATTTTCTTGGAAAAAGTGTTTTCATTCAAAAAGGACTTTCAAAAATAAGAAAATTTGAATACAAAGTTTATGGATAGAAGCTACTTTTTTATTCATCACATCTTCAGTAACGTAGAGTAGTTACTCTAAAATTCCCAATTTAGACCTCTAACATCACTTACCAATTCGAATTGTGTTGATGGAATTCCCAAAATGTTGGAATAATGGCCTAGATAAAAAACACTGACTGTTTTGAGGTTAATAAAGGTTTTCTTGTGATAACATACTTTCTATAATCATTGGTGTTCATACGGATATAAATGACTGGTATAATTATAAAGATGCCTAAGACATTATAAGTAGGGAAATGAGATCAAAGACAATTATAGCAATGTGATGATGTTAATTGTAAGACATAAAAATACATTTACAAATACTATTAGAGCCACAATTACTAAATGATCATGGACTCGATGCAACAATACTGTAATTCAGTTAACTTATTATAAGAAATTACAGGTATATTCTTATGAAACCTAGGACTATTCATTACAAAATTACAACAAGTATATACCCTCTATATCCCGGCTTTAAAGTACGAAATAAATTAAAACAACCGTGGAGAGCAATTACCCCTGGTCCTCCTCCCTTCTTCCAGTAACACATGTGAAAGTACATAATTGCCATTCATTAGTTCATGTCAAGTAGCTAATATAAAATAATTATCATATATCATAAAGTTGTTGCTGATTTCACCTACAGTGTGCTGCCAAAACTTTCTACATACTCTGTCTGAAACGTCAGTGTTGCTATGAATAACTTTTGGCAACTTTGTGAAGTTGTAATTCAACTTTGTGAAAATTCTTGCCTACCTGCTATTAAAGATTGTTGAATTTTCAGAAAGTTGAATTCATCTTTTATATGTGTCAATAAGACATGAGAGCTTTGAATTTTCTAAAATAATATTTAAAGTTTGATAGATTATGTGTTCCAAGGGAGACAATTCACAATTTATCATTTTAAAAAATGAGACTGACTGTTGCCCTTTGTATATTTTTATAGTAGGGTAATAAAGAAAGGTGTAACAATTTGCTTAATCATAACATAACATAAAGAATAAACAGAAAAACAGTAATAATTATGCAAGTTAATGGCCGATCTTCATCTTTGTAGAAATACAGGATGGAAATTTCATTTTGTTTTTATTAATTTTTTGAAAATGAGCCAATGTATGTTTATAGATGTTGAATGAAATATTAAAATCTATAAATTAATAGGTTTTAAGGGGGAACAACACATCAAAAACAACAGGTCGGAAACATATGTAATAATAATCAAATGAACTGAAAATCTTATAAATAGGTAATACTTAATAATAAAATGATAAAAAATAAGGAAAAATGTCATAAAGTACTGAATTTTCGGATTGGTAAAGACTTACAAAATGAGTGACAGATAAGATATGGCTTAAAGATATATGATAAAGATATACATGGATTTTTTTTGTCAGAATCTAAACTCTAGCTGATTATTATCTTTTTTTATAGACCATTGTGATACTTTTTCATTCACCCAGGGTGCAACTTTTTATAAGATCAGAGCAGTTTTGAATGCCTGCAGGTATCTCATATCAAAACATTGCGTCTGTTGCAAAAAATTATCTATATGATTTTCTGGAATGTGCTTGGTGAAAGAGAGAGATTAAATTATTAAATGATTTCAGAGCCGAAGTTTTACTTTGATCGCGAGCATTATCATGTAGACGAGGGTGTTGGTACGTTTGAGGTTAAAGTATGGAAGACTGGAACAGACCTCAGTAGACCTTCTAGTGTTACTGTTAGATCAAGGAAAACTGAACCGATGTCTGCTGAAGGTAAAGACATGCTTGTATAGGCTAAGGACTTAGTATACTAATAGAGTGAGGCATAAGCTATGATTATGAAGCATAATTATATTTATATTTGAAAATCAGCCTTTCATTAATTAATTTGTTTTATGATATTTAAGTGTATAGCATACGTCATACACTTTTTTATACACTATACAGAAAGGTTGGGCTTAATGTTTTTACATTATCATGGGATGGATGTTCTTCTGCTGTAATAAATAAAATGTTATCTATTTTATATTAGCAACATTGAGATATGAGTTTTACAGGTGTAAGTACATGCATATGAAACAGATATAGTTGTTTAGTGCTTACATCTCTGAAACATGAACAAATTAATTTTATAAAACTGTATTCTGGGCAATATTAATTTGAAGGTTTATTGTATATCGATTATAAAACAGAATCTGATGTACAACTTTGAACAGTGTTGCAGCAAACTCTGTATTTGTATTCAAATTATTGATAATTTAAAAGAATTAAAGCAGCAATAGGAGTTAGACCGGTAATGGACAAAAAATAGCTTGTAGGCTGTTTGTTATGAGAAAAAGATATGCATTTATGTTTGCTGTTCAGAAATTATAAAAAAGAGAAAAGCAAAAACAGTTAAAAAAAACACTAAAAACACTCTTAATATATTAATAAATTGCAAAATTGAAAATGTTGCATTAAGCAATAGTGATAACCACAAGCTACTATCGGTGATCCCGTGCTTAGGTTTAAATATGTTTCAACTGAACAAAAAAAAATGGTGAGAGTTTCAGTTTAGAAACATCAGTAGATGTGTTCATATGGCAGTTGTCATGGAAGATACAATGTGAATAGTTTGTGTAAGTTTTGAAAATAACTTATCATTTTAAGTATAGTAGATTTTGTCATTCATGCAGATTTATTTCTATGAATATTCATAAAAGGCAACAATATATTATTATCTTACAGCCAGTACAGACTATATCCCAGTCGTTAGAATATTAGACTTTGCCCCTGGAGAAATGACTGAGACCTTGAGTGTCACCATCCTAGATGACCTTGGTCATCCTGTCCTTGAGGGATCAGAGAAGTTTGAGCTTCATCTAAGGATGCCCGTAGGAGGGTCTATAGGAGAACCAAGTGTGGCCATCATCACCATAAATGACTCATTGTCAGATTGTGAGTGTCTTAGTTTTAACTTGGTATTAATCTTTTGAATACTCATAGCATTACAGACTTGCCTGTGTCATCAGTATAGGGCAAAGTCAGCCTGGCACATTAATTTAGTTTGACCAGGCTCTATATGCATACTGTTTACTGTTGATGCCTTATACACAGATCCCTAACCTGTTTAATTCTAATTATTTGATTAGTAAGAGGATTACAATAAGAATTTCACCACAAAATATTTGTTCACAAAAGAGCACAGACCAATCTATTGTTATTCAAATAATAGGTCAAAGTAGGGATCTATCAATTTTGGCATTTTTTGTTATGGAAACCTCTTGGATGAATAATTGACAGTTCAACATTCAAAGTACATGTGTCTTTATCCTTTGATATAAAATAACTGTTTTTATGTAAAAAAAAGTAATCTTGTTAATTTAGCATCTCTTGAGGCAAAGTCAGTTTTAGTTTTCACAATTACAAAGATCTGTTTTTAAAACAATTCTAACCCCATAAAAGAGTCCTCATTTCGAAAAGAATTTATGTCACTTGATTTTTTAGTGAAAAAGAACAATTTTAAAAGTAATCTGGTTACTATGGTACTAAATCTTATACTTTGTCTTATTTAAAGGACGGTTTCTTGGTAAAAAAAAGTTGTGAATAAGTGGTATTTCTGTCTAAATGATAGAATAATATGTTTTTATAAGGCTGAAGTTTTTTGCCATGGCACCTTTGCTAAATTGCTTTTCTTCTACTTTGTTTAGTACCAAAGATGGAGTTTGCTGATGTGGAATATGAGGTGTTGGAGCGTGAGGAAGAGGTGGTTGCTAAGGTTACCAGGTCAGGTGACATCAGTCAGGAATCTTACGTTAGATGTTATACTAGACAGGCCTCGGCTCAAGTTGATGTAGACTACATAGAGAGACCAGACACTAACAGTTCTTTTGTTTTCTTCAAACCAGGTACATACATATATATATATATGTTTGAATTCAGTATTTTAACAGATATTTTAATACACCCCATATTTACTTCCAACTTTAGAATTTATTGTGCATCTTAAATCTGTTATTAAAGGTCACCTCTCAGTAAAAACTACAATAAGGCTCTTTTTAGTAAAGTTATTCTGTAATCAAAAGCTATGAATGATACTTCATGTTTGTAACATCAATTTTCATTGGAAGGTTATAATGTTTATATTATGTGTATACACAGCTGTAAGTAATTTTTTTAAAATCACAGAAAGCAATTTTTCAGTACAACAAATTGATTAAAACAAAAGTTATGCTAGAATCTTTGTACTTTTTTACTTTAAGTCATATAACTTTAATGACAAGTTTTATGGTTAACTAATGTGTAGATAGTATGCCATATAAACTGATAGCCCCTTTACACTGTGTATATTTATAGGGGAAGGAGAAACTGAATGTAGAGTGAAGATCATTAATGACAGGCACAATGAAAAAGAGGAAAGTTTCCGTCTTGTACTTGGAACACCAGGTGGCGCTATGCCAGGGGGAGCAACTCTTGGAGGGCAAATAACAACGAAAATTGTGATTCATGATCCAGATGATAGTATGTTTTCTGATTTGACTTCAACATGTATTTCACTTTTTGTCCTTGCATTTATTTCATATATCTTTTAATTTGTATCTTCACATTCTGAAGTAAAGTGCGAGAAGTCTTCTTCCATGTCACAATGGGAAGTTAAGATCTTAATTTGTGAAACATAGAAAAAAACACAACAGAATCGTATTTGGAAAAAAAAATAATAATGTTAACTTTGTTTATTGTGTGTCAGTTAGTACCTTTCTTTGTTAAAAAAAAAATGTTTTTTCTTTATTAAACTCCAGTTGCTGTGATAAAGTTTGACAAGAGTCAGTACACAGTGAACGAGCCGATTATTCCCGGTGATGTCAACGTTTTACGTGTACCAGTGATACGTCTAGGTGACACGTCGGGAACGTCAGAGGTCAGAGTGTCAACGAAGAGTGGCAGTGCAAGTGCTGGTCGAGATTTCAATGGGCATTCTATATGTATGTTAACATTTTATAATTATACTGAGTATAGTTTCAGAAATATTTTGTGTAGGAAAAGGATTTGGGAGAAGATACACTAGGCATTTTACATGATGGAAATGATATAAAAATATATAGAGGATTTCTAATAGCAAATTAGTAAGTAATGTCAGAAACTTAAGCTCTAGTCATGTAAAATTGACTACAATAAATGAAAACAGTAAATATATCTTTCATTTAAGGAAACAAGCTTAGAGAGGGTTGGTGGTTTTATATTGGTGCCTGTTCATACCTGGAATAATGCATGAAGGGTCACTTTAGGTTTTCCTCCATTAGAAGAACTAGAAAGTTACCATATGACTTTACAGTGTTGGTTTAGTTTAAAATCAATTGTAACAAAAAAATAAACAATAGTTAACATAGGATATTAACTGTAATACATACATATGTACTCTTTCATTTTAGTGTTGAGATTTGAGCCTGGTATAGAACAGCTGTTTGCAGAGATTGAGATCAATTATGATGGGGAGACTGAAAACAGTGAAAGTTTCTCCTTACATCTGTCACAGGACCGCAACATGATCGCAGAAGTACATGTATGTGTGCCATCATCCTTTATTATATTAATTGATGAATTCTTACAAAAATGCTTTCTTTAACTTGATTATAAATTAAGACTTTTAGTCATGTTTTAACCAGTACTTCCCTGAATTTGTTATATAGGATTGCCCTGCTTTGAATTTTGAACTGTTTGTTAACAAACACTGAGAAAAGTGAAGCGTGCTGGCCGTAGACCGGTCTTGTTTAGAAAACGTTAGTTACATAAAGATTCATGTACCGTATTTATGCTGTGATTTTGGCAGGTTGATATACATATGCTCTTTGAGCCTATCAATCCTGCTGTCATTCTGTGCGTGGACTGAAAAAATGAGTATTTGGGACTCTTCCTATTCTCTCTATTAATTTGAAAGCATATTTCTTCAAGATTGCTCTTTCCTTGAATATCAACTCTTTGAAATATCAGTGTCTAGTGCTAAATATTTAGTCCAGCTTTTGTATCTATTTTGTATACATTACAGCACAACAGTAAAGCTACAGTTTATATTGAAGAAAACAGCAAGTTTATAAATGTTGTATTCCCTGTACCACCATTGGTTGTCTCTCTTCGTGATCTTGATCAAGTTGGTCGTGCTATGAACATGAAGCCTATAAATGGATATCCACTTGTCTGTGTGTCAGTAAGTAGAATATGTCATTGTTAATCAGAATTGATGGAATTATGCCATAATTATAATTAAGATAGGGAGAAACCTATCTCATTCTTTAAAGATTCTGAAAAGATTCTTGTGTACTTTAAAATTGTTTAAGCGTTTTAGAATCTGGACATTTAATTCAGACATTTTTAGAATTCAAGCATGTGATTCAGACCTTATAGGGCATCCGAGGCCAAGTTGACTTAAACCACTTGCCTTTTAGCACCGTATGTTTGAGTGGAGCAAGCGTTGTCAGATTCTACATGTGAGAAAGCTATCAAGCTACATATAGCTTTCCAAACATCGGTGGTTCTACTCAGTTGACAGTTTGTGCCTGGAATAATGTATAGAGGGCACCTGAGGTATTCCTCCACCAGTAAAGCTAGATAATTGCCATATGGCCTATAGTGTGCAACGTAAAAGCCATCAAAAAAATCAGACCTTTTAATAATGTGAATATACATATTTTGTCATTTTCTTTTACTGAGTCATTTTGTTTGAAGATACTGGTTAGAGAGGAGATATCTCGGACACTAAATCTTTACTAGGTGACCATTGTGTTTGTTTGTTGAAAAACAAAATATAACAAAAATATGTATCAAGTGTTTGGTTTATCTCTGTGTCAGAGTTATCTCTCTAACCAGTACATATAACTTCTTGCATACAGAGAAAGTAATTCTTAGCTTTTTAATCCATTACGGAAATTGTATCTGCTTTATCATGGCATAAATATTGAAGCAACAATACATTGTTGTACTTTTTAAAATATGAGTAAGTAATAATACTAATATAATATAATTATAATAGTAAATAATACTGATCATACATGTATATATACATAATGAAAGTCATAGCTGTCACTTAGATAATAGTGATACTCAAACAAATGAAAATGACTAGAAGAGGTCCATTATTATATCACATATTTACATATTAAGTTGAACTTCAAGTAATAAATGTAGTGACACTATTTATGGAAGCACGTTACACAATACCTTTTAAAATCAAGTGTCACATTCTTATTTATACCCTAATCAACACCAATGTCATGTTTGTATTTGTAGCCATGCAATCCAAAACATCCAAAATACAAGGAGGTAAAGCAGAAGTGTTCTGAGATAGACAATAAATTAACAAAGTTCAGGTGGCGAGTTGGACCTCCAGAAGACGAGAATGGAGTTTTTGGAAATATGAGAGATCTTGAAACCGATACAGCCTTCACATCAACAAGGGGCATCACTCTAGACAGCATTTATTTTACAAGAGGTGATTAACTCCCTTTTCTATAATTCTTAAAGTGGGTGAGAATATTCAGGTTCTCATAACTTCACTTTTAAATAGGAAGGGTAAATGATAGAAGTACAATCATTCCTATCTGTAAAGACCAGTTTGTTTGATACAAATGATTGTTGTTTTTAACTTTTCAAATTGATAGAATAATTTTGATTTTAAACAATGTTAAATAAGATCAAAGTATTGCCTTGATGTAAACTGCTGTTTAAGAAAAATACACTATGCAAGGTATTGTTTACATGAGATAAAATTTCAGTTTCACCATTCATTATGTGTCAGATAAGCCCAGCCCACTCTCCATTTATGCTTAATGGCTTTACTACGGCCTGTATCAGCCAAGTGTGACCTGTCGTTTAAATTACAAATGTCTTTTATGAATGATTTGTGTGACAAGTTAAAGTACAGTGACTGTCATATATTATAACAATGTAGTTCCATTTGTCTTTTTTATGGAATATAGTCTAGCTTAATTTAATAAAGAAATGTTTATGAAAATTAAATGTCATTCTCCAAAATGTTCTATTCACCAACTTGAGTTTTTTTGGTTTTTTTTTGTTTCACAAATGATTTGTAATATTATTGCAGGGAGCCAGGTAAGATGTTTTGCTAGAGCTGTAAATGAGGCAGGGGAACCAGGAAGGGAAATTGGAAGTCCTGTTGTTACCGTTGATACAGAGGAAGGGAAGTGTCTGCCTAGAACCCGTGGTGCTGTTGGGGCTGATCCATTTACAGCTAGACTTTGGTATACAGGTAAAAATTTCTTTTATATTTAGCTTAATTATGATGTTGAGTTTAGTCTTTCATACATCTCCTTTACCACTGGTAAAGTTTGAAAGCTAGTCTATAAAATTTTCCAATCTTAAAATGACTTCCTTTTGCTACATAAAGGCCTCTTTTGTACTACCGGTATATTATTGTTATGTTTGCGTTCTTTCGTTTTTCTTGTTTTGTGTCATACTGTTACATATGATATATATAATTTCTAGGAACAGATGATAAGGACCAACCCAATACTGTTCGTCTGACAGTCCAGGTTCCACATACAGATGGAATGTTCCCTGTCATCTCAACAAGAAGATTGTCAAACTTCCAGTATGCCTTGAGTAAGGATGCTTACCGTATGGAACACCCGTGTTCCAATCTCCTCGATATAGATAAAAGGTCAACAAAGTACGGATTCATTACAAATGGAACGAGGAAGTCAAAGTATATAACAGATTCAGAACTGTATGAGCTGGATGAAAATTATAGACCTCAGTCTACACTCAGATTTTACAAGTAATGGTCTACAGTTTCTATTAACTTAGTAAAATATCAAAATATATTTTGTTTATATTTGAAGACTGCAGTCATTAGTTTGAATACTAATATGCAGATCAATTTTCTGCTATATATATATAAATATAAGATTTAGGCATGCTTTTGGTATGCTATGGTGTTTTATGTTTGTCTATTCGATAAAAGGGAGAGCTTATGTACTCGAGGCAACAAGGTGTACACTTAGGTTAACTTTGTAAGTTGGTCTGAAAAAGTACTGAAGAAAATTGGTTGAAACTTCACACTCTTATTTTGGGGCATAATAGGAGGTCACCGACCTAGACACATAACTCTAACATGGATTTTGATAGAATTATGGCCCTTTTTTAACTCAAAATTATCTAGATTATTCAGGCTTTTGTTTAATTATCAAGCACTGAAACTAGTCAAGGATACTGTTCTACCATCATCTCTTGCTTTATAAATCATGACTTCCACTGTGTGCCATGATAATTGTCTCCAAGAACTTAATTGTATATTGTTTTTGGAGTGTTAAAGTGAAATGATTTTTGCCTTTATTCTGGTCAATTTTATTCTGTTGACATTATAATGTTAGGATGTCCACTCATTGATAGATTGTTATTTGACATGATGGCATATTTTCAGAAATTTGGATCTGGACTCTTGTGTTTGGACATTTGAATCATACTATGATATGTCCGAGCTGGTGGACCCATGTCAGGCAATGATACAGGCTGAAGCCCAGGTATGTTGTGTCTTTTATCTATCTATACTAATTACTAAAAGTGTTGTTTTAGGTACCGGTAGATAGATATTGCCTCTCCATAAAATATATCCTTTACTTTTTCAAATGCATGGCAAGATATGAGAAAAAAAAACAACCTTAAGACCATTTTTCTTGCAAAATGATGACTGTATTATTTGCTAGGTTAAATTTTCTGAAAATAATTTTTGTTATCAGGATTTTAAAATTTTATATGCAAGTTTAAATTGGAATTTTCAAGTCAAAATTTACTAAGCATCATGTATTTCGTCACCTTACTATAGTAACAGGTCAACTTCTTAATTTAATAGGAGTTAACCTGTTTTTGTCATTTTTGCTTCAATAATAATAATAATGTATTTAAAGGTTGAATTTGGTGACTATTATATATTAATGCAGAAAAAGGTTCCAGGGCTGGTATCAGTACTTGATAGTGAATGCTTACTATATAATTATTGAAAACAATGCATCATATAAATTAGAAATTTTCTCATTATCTTTTTCAGTTTAATAAGAGTAATACAATAAAAGTTTGTGAAATCTTTTTTTATTACCCTTTGTTGTTTCTGCATGAATACCTAACATTGAAAATCCTCTTAATCCTATGATAGAGAATGCATGTCTGTTTTGTTTTGTTTTGTTTTTTTGCATGAATTACAGGGATTTCACTGGTGCCAGAAAATGTCTTACACAAAACACTTTAACCTTGTAAATTTGTGCAGATGACTTACCCTGCCTTATAGTGTTGTCAGTATATTTCTTTTAGTATAAAGGACTTCTACATCAGTCTTGGCAGACTGTATGGAAATACATGTTGACAAGACAAATATCTTTGCTGTAGCATTCAATGATTAACCTTTCCTCTACATATCTCCTTAAAACTTGGTGTACATTTAACTGTCTTTCCTTTCTGAAAATAGTTAATTATCTAGTAATTTTCTTTACAGATATCTGTATTTATCCTAGTATAGACAGAAACCAATTACTCATATGATCATGTATATAATGTTTTTTCAGGAGAGGGATTAAAGTTATTGTTGTACAATCTAAATTTTAAGCTCATGTTAAGAAGTAAATTTGAATTTGAATGCTATTTGATACCACTTTTTTTCCAAGAGAGCAGCAATAAGCATCTAATCTTTTATAAATATATGAGATAGAAAGGAACTTATTGTCATACTGGCAATTTAAGGAGTTAAACCTTTTCACCTGTGTTATAACCCAAACAGACGGTTACTTTAAAGGGCATGAGGTTGTTGGTTCAAAACATTGGCTGAAATTTAATGTTTATAGTAAATATCCAATCTGTTTTATTACTTTTTTGCACTATTGATTTAAAACAAACATTTGCAATTTTCACATTAAGATGACAGTATTCAATGAGAAATTACTTACAGAGAATAAAAAAAACGTTTTGAGTGATTAACTCTTTAAACATTGTAATTTAGGCTGGAAAAACCATGATAACATTATGAACATTTTGCATTTTTCAGGTACAGGATATCAGACATTCTTATGTTTCACTAAAGCTGCCGTTGTTTGTGTCCTACGTCTACTTCTCACCAGAACTCTCCTATAGGTGGCGCCACTTTGACCTCAACACAGAGTTGAACCTGAAGTTTGTTTATAACACTGCTATATTGTGGCAGGAAGGGATTAGTACTATACAAGAAGAGACTGACATAGAAGGTGTGTATTTGGTGTTCTTTTATAATTTGCCTATTAAAGTTTGGACCTTTGAAGTTTTTAAAACCTAAATTAGTTAGTACTACTGTATATACAATGGCAACATTTTGAAGCTTAGATAGGACAGGACATCAGTCATCGGCTATTGTTCAATATGATGCTAGAAAGTTTTTACAAAACAGGACAGTTTAGAAAATAAATAAGATAAAACATCTACATACACTTAAATGAAATCAATACACAAAATCATGTAATGTAATGTAATAGTCACTGATAGAAAGTCAATATGAAAAAATGTTATTGGCACCATAACATTTTTCTATGACTTGAAAAATATGACAGGTTTTTCTTTGCTATGGCGCTCCACATCACTTCCTCAGTTACCGGTACTCAACTTTACTGAATAATTATTTTGTGTATTTCAGCTCACCTTTACCCCACTAGCATGAGAATAAAGGATGATGGGAAACTTGTTGTTGGCTTTAAAACTGTAGCCAACTTTAGAGGACAATTTATACTTTTTCAATCAGGTATGTCATGAACAAAACTATTCTTGTATGCCCTTTAGGAAGAAAATCGTTTTATAATATGTATATTTTACTCTTATGGTATTGTCTGAATATATTTAATTTTCATTTTAAAATGGGGGTGTCATTACCAAATTTGTTTACAGTGTACTTTGCAATTATATCTTGGTTGTTTTTTTATTAGCAAAAATCACATTTCTGTAGATAACTTCCATTTTGTGTCCTTAAACTCATCTTGTATATAATAATGATACATAAAATAATGCTTTCATTTTTAAGAAGGTTTTTATTTGTGGATAACATTGAATTATTGATTCAGTATATGTTCAGGATGTGTGTAAAAGGGGGAATGAATACTTAATAAGATTATGTTGATTATCAAGGCAATTACTCATTTCAGTTGAAAATAAATCATAAATGCCAAGTAAATATTTCAACTCTGGTTTGCTTGTATTAGTATAAAATGAAAGTTTTCATATTTCAGGGGCAGACATGTCTTCTTCAGTCAAGTTACCAGGGCAACCAGATATTGCTCTGACCTTGAGATTGGTACGCAGTGACTCAACCTATGATCAGCCAGAACAACTTTGGGAATTTGTATCAAGTAAAGCTGTAAGTCGGACTTGACAATGTAGATAATTATCTTGTTTGTAAATAAAGGTTATAAATAGACATGTAGTCTAAACGAGATCCCTGTGTACCTCTTACCAATTGAGGGATATTATGATGATGTTTATTAAATATTTGACAGCTATGAATTTTTTTAGAAAAACACTGGTCTATGTTTTCTTCAGATAACAAATTTCAAAATGATTTTTTTTTGTTGCAGATTCAAGATTTTTCAGGAGATTACAAGGTCAGTCTTATACCTTGTTTTGCAACCTTGACCCAGAAATACTCTCTACCACTGAAGTGTACTCCCAGAACTCCTATGACCTTTGATCTACCAATCAGATTCCAGCAAGTGAGTGACCCAGTGGCAACAGAGTTCAGTCTGAATACAGAGTTTTACCTTGTACGTAAGAAAGACGTGTGGTTGTCTGACAATATACAAGGGTTAGGTTTGAGAGAGGAAGATACAGCCTTTGCTCCTGGTAAGAGATTTTTTCTGTATTTGTTAAAATTTGCTATTGTTTTTGTTATGTCACACAGACCGTCCATAGTTTTATGCAACGTTTCGGCTTAACTGGTGGAGGAGCACTCAAGATAGCAGATATATTTCAGGCACAAAAAAGCATTTCAAGTAGAATTGCATACCTTAAAAAAATATCATGAAAATTGCAGACCTGGTTTGATTGAGTCTGTACTTGAGGGATAATGAAAAATTGCAACATCCCTCACACCCCCTAGCACTGGGGGGTAAGCTAACTAGCTTTCTCACACAGAAGGATATACTTTGACATTCAGCTATAGGAGAATAACCTGTTATAATGTTATGATATATTATATAATTATAGTCTCATGTAATCTTAAATGAACATTAATAAGACTTAAACTTATTGTCATACTTTCTGATGTATTGTTTTTATAAAAATAAAGACTTGTATCTAGTTACTGTAAACAGAAAAAATAGATTTTATTCCTTGATTTAAAGACTGATTTTGGTCAGTTTGGTAACTTATTACCAAGTTTTTGTGTTTATCTGTGTAATGAAATAAGCTGAAATTAAATATCAATGTCTTTGATTACAGGTGATACTATTTATGGGAGAGTGAATGTGGATACAGTTCAGTCACTAGGCAACCAGTTTGTTCTCAATATAGAGAAAGTGTTTCTATGTTCCGGTAAAGATGGTTACATTCCAAGATACGATCCTGATAACGGAGAGTATGGCTGTGTTGGGGAGTCGAAAAACCTTGACACTACCTATAGAATTGTGGTATGGTTTTTGTTACACATATATTTATATATTGATTATTTTTACTCTTGAAAATTATGTTACAATTAAATTGTGTATATGAGTATTCATTTACCCATTATCACTTTGTAAGAATTGTTTTCCATATTGTAATGCAGTAAAAGTTATGTTGGAAAAACGGACAAGTACTTTGAATAAGTATAATAATTATGTTAAATGACATATTTTATAATAAAAATTGTGAAAAATAACCATTTCTTTGGTATTGGCATTTGTGAACCATTTTGTTGCATTACTCAAAAACTATCATAGCTATTCAAACATGAAGTAAAAGTGTACTTTTTCACTATCGAGGGCAGGTAAATCTGCAAAGTATTTTTGCAAAATTATATCCTCTTTGGAGAGTGCCCACAAACAGTTCTTATTTATATGGTAATATATTCAATGTACTTTTATATTTAACAGGACGCTGAGGCCCCATACACTGTAGATACAGATATCAAAGGTGTTCCATTTAATGCAATGCCAGCTAAGGAAGATAGTAAAGCTGTAAAACTAGTACTACAATCAGGAGCTGATGGTTTCTCCTTTGATTCTAAACCATTGTTCCAGGTATGTTTATAAAATGAGCCCCGTCATGACAAAACCAACATAAAGGGTTTGCGACCAGCATGGATCCAGACCAGCCTGCGCATCCGCGCAGTCTGATCAGGATCCATGTTGTTCGCTATCAGTTTCTCTACTTGTAATAGGGTTGTCATGACGCGGCTCAAATCATTTTCATCTGATTATGTTATTTTTACAAACATTTCTTTTTACAGGGCCTGTTGCATACTTCAAATAACTTACAAACTGTTTACACTCTTCATATTAGAGTTTGAATTTGTTTACAGACATTGAACTGTTAAGAAGTAGCCATTTGTTTGGTGGTTTTATCTAGGTGCATTTCTGTTGTATTTTGGTGTTCTTTTACCATTAAAGCTGAAAATTCATTATGATACCGATACAGTGTCTATGTTACTTACAACTCAGTGAGAACCAAAAATAATTTCTTCTGGCTCTAGACTGGCACCTCAAATGATAAAAGGTTTTGGGAATATACATCCTGTGTGCAATACTATTACATTATACAATCCTTTTAGGGTTTTATGGTCGTATATCAGTACCTTGCAGTAAATGTTTAATTTTCAATTTTTCTTTTCCTACACTTCTATAACATTGATTATAATTTTGTGCAGTTGGCATAAAACTACATGTATCAAGGTGTAGGAAGGAAAGCTAAAGTAATACTGCCATTAAATTATGACTTGAAAATTGAGGGCATTGTTAGAAATGGTTGTTATCACACTTCATTTTTTATGAGTCACAACCCTTTTATGTTCATTAAGAATCTAATCTTTATGTTATATTATTGTTTCATTCATCAGGTTGATGCTGGTAAACAGTGGTTCTTACATAGCATCTATTCAATAAGATCTCGAAGTAGCAAATCAAAGAGAGATGTTCATGAAGTTAAAGTACACAACATGTTAAAACGATCTCAGACAGATTTATCCGACATTGGCAATGGTGAGAAGGGCACAAACATGGCCCCATTGATTTTAAATTTGAATGGGAAATCCATTTCTGATGACACTTATAAATCGGATAAGATTCAAGAAAGTGAGGAAGGTCAAACACCACTAATAGCTGTGTTAATTGGTGTAGGAATACTACTGCTGATAGCAATATTCATTCTTGTGATATTTATACGTCATCGGCGAAAAAGGACGTCGCCACCTCCGACCCCGTCAGGGACTATAACTGTGATGTCAACTTCACCAGGTCATACACGCGTCATATCAAATGCTCATATATTTAAGAAAAATGATCTTTCAGAAGTGTAGATTATGCAGATATGTGTTATAAGTTATAACTTATTATTGTTACCATTATGTAATACTGCGAGAAAATATTATAAACTAAAATCTGATGTTATCTGCGGCTTCTACAATAAAAACATTTCACAGAATATACATTTAATGATAGAATCTCTACAATATCTCAGAACCATTTTTTGTTGGAAATGTTGATGTATCATTAGATGTATAGTGAACATTGTTTTGTAAATTGCTGATATACGAGAAGCTAGTTTGCGATGTTAGGATAAGATGAAAAAATTTTAATCATTAAATCATTTGTTATAAAACATATTCATCAAATCATTTATAAATGTGTTATCAGTTTAATATATGCATATCATGTGACTACAATAAAAGTAGTATTGTTAACCCTTAACATGCTGAATATTTTAAATGGACTTGTCCCACTTCCATTTTTGGGACTGTCCATTATCAATTTTGAATATTTAAAGTTTGTCAGCCAACAGTATAGAGCCTGGTCAGACTGCACGGATGTGAGGGCTGGCCTGGCTCTATACTGGTGGCAAAGGCTTAACGCTTTCGGTTCCAGCACTTTAAGGGTTAAAAGTAAGTATGTAAGTGAAAGTTGAAACATTTAATCCAGGGTCCTTTGTTTTAATGCTACAATCAAACTTTTATTTACTATGAGTTGCATGATATTATGTATGTATTCTCAGTGAATTGCCAAAAAACATGCTTAAATTTATTTTTATTTTCACTGCAATTTGTCTTAAGATACACTAAGAATTTATGTTAGTTTCCTCCCTAAATTGTCAAAAATTATGGTTTATTTTGTTTGTTTGCTTTATTTTTACATATCATGTATTATTAACTGATATTATTTAATAACATTGGGAGTTGAATCATACCTGGACCATATGAGATTATGTATCATATTATATGTAATATACCTATATACATACATGTTGCCATAATTCATTAGCAATCAAGTTGTATTGTATAAACATTATCCTGTATTAAAAAGCCAGTTACCATTGTCTATATGTGCAATATATATTTTAGTAGATATTTTAGTTAGATAAGGCCAGTATGGCCAAATTATTGATATTTGTGACAGTCATATTAATTTTGTGACACAGTCATTTTGCGGCACAGTCATATTTGTGACACAGTCATATTTGTGACACAGTCATATTTGTGACACAGTCATACCTAAAGTGAGGAATCTGGTTGTATAATATTAACTTATACATTAAAGTAGGTCTACTCAGTTTTGTCTTTTATGTGGATGGCGAAACACCAGTAGGAATGGTGTTATTTCATGTTGGTTATATTGATGAGACTAAACTAAACTGGAGTTAAAATTTGTGGCAGATCTTGGACTGGTATAAGTTGTCATTTACCTATCACATAAATAACACGAGAATCTTCTATTCAAGTATATGTTAATAGACATAACATCATTATATCATTTGTGTGTGCTAAATGTTTCTTGTGGCATGATACTGTAACATGTTTTATATCACCGTGATTTTTTCATAATCATACATGTACTTGCAGAACTTATTTATGATAATAAGGAGGAATACATGTATAAAAATATATATCAAATATGTTGACTGTCAAAGTAAAATTAATGTAATAATGATTATTTTGACAAGTTTTAAAAATAGTTAAACTGGCTGTTTTAAAAATATACTAACAGTTTAACTACTCAACCATATGTCAGATCACCTATAAGACGGGGGTCTGTATTTTATATTAAATTAGGCGTTATTTTTTATTTGACTCATACATTTAGGGTAAAATAGAATTGTTTGTACAAGAATGATTGATGTGCTAGTCATTGTAGATAGCTCAAATAATGCTCACCTTAATTATCTGAATTATTGATTTGTTACAATGAACATAATTGTTTCTCTAATGAGTTTTGTTAACTTTAATGAAATGTTTTATGATTTTACTGTATTTACAAGTGTGATAAGTCTATACTTGGCTTTATCATAAAACATTGATTTTTACTTGTTATTTAAACAAGAGTTAAAATAATTATGCAGACTATTTCGATTTTTACTCGATTATGAATATGATTTGTCACTTAATTAAACTGACAATTCTGACAAAAGTCTGAGAGTTATTGGGTTACAAGTGTCTTGCCACAAGACCTTGACCTGCTATGAATTTTTGACTCATATTTCCATGCGTTGCATTTATTTGTAACCTTCAGTGTATATTCAAAATTTATATTGACCATATTCTGTAGAACATTAATTTCTTTGAAAAAAAAAAATTCTTGGCCCATGAACGAAAATCATCTGCTTGTTTTATATGAATTTATGTAATTTTTGTTAATATTAAAGACAAGGGTTATAAGTTTATTACTAATTAATAGCCTTATAATCTGATATAAGAAGGGTTTTTTATTTTGTCAGGGTTATTCAAGTTTTTTGGCTTTTTCTCAGATTTGTTTTGTATTTGTTTTATTTCTGTGTGTACAAAATAACATTTTATATATTTCTAATATAATGGAATATTTGCTTGTGCCAAGGAAATTTACAATTTGCCAGTTAATCATTGCAGATTAATCGTTTTTATTTGAGTATTATTATTACTGCACACTTATTCAACTACTTGAACTAAAACAGCTTTTTATTTGTTTGATTTTATGATTTATGTTCAGAAATAAAAGAACAGGTTTCTTGTAGTTTTAGATATAAGTGATACGATGTTTTCTAACACAATGCAGATTATTTTTAAAATGAAGGTATATATTTAAAAAATATTACTGAGTTGTCAATGTTGAAAATCATTAGTTTCTCTCTATATTCATAAACAATCTCTGTTTTAGAAACTATATTTATAAACAATCTCTGTGTGAGAAATTATATTCATAAACAATCTGTGTGAGAAACTATATTCATAAACAATCAAAGAGCCTTTTAGCATTCAGGAATAGCTTTATCATAGTGTAATCATTTTACAAATAATAGTGTATTAAGTATGATATTAACCAGCTTGATATAAATATAGTATAACACACATTTTCATGCTTTTGTGTATATATTTTGTGACAATCTCATTTGTGTTCATTTTAATACATCAGATTTTTTGTTTATTTTTGTTTATTGTAAAGGTTTTTGTTATAATGTTTAATTTTTTGTCCATGTTTCACGAGTGTTGAAATCCATAAGACATGTGTAGATGCTTTATACATGAATGTAAAGCTATTGCTTAAGAAATATGCAATAAGAATGTTAATATCTGACTTGTCAGTCAGTTAATACTGCATTATAATCTGTTTACTCAGTGAAACACTAAGGGAGATAATATAGAGGGTCTATACCACAATATAGAGCTAGGTCTGTCTGTATTTTTGAGCAGCCAAACAACTTTTTATATTGATATAGAAGTTTTGTTGTATTATGATAATAATTATTATAAAATCGACAGTTTCTGGGTTCAGATTACACAGATGTAGCAGGTTTACGGTTAAGACTGACCTGCTGGCCAGAGCTTGCCAGTATTTATATATTAGTTTATGTTATGTTTTTAATTTTTGCTTTGTATTTACTTATGTTATTGCCTAATTTTTGCTTGTTTGAAAATATTCCAGGAAGAATTTCTTTTTCAGGAAATCTCAATTTTTATAAACTTTTTCTACAGGTTTATGCATATTAAATAGCTTCTTTTTGCAAGATTGCTTTTGCAAAGTTTTTATTTGTTTGCTTTCACTCGCTGGTATGTCATTTATTTTAAAAGGGTCAAAACTATTTCATATTGAAATATTTACACAGGTTATGTGAGTTTATAATTTACTCACCTCAAGACTGTTCAGAATATTTGACTTGTATATAGAATGTATGAACGAGAAAATGAATGTATATTTTAGCATAAAAAGTTGCATAGAAAATCCACATATGTATTTAGTGGTTATAACCAATTGTGTATACTAGAAGTGCTGTTTTTCAAGAATTGATTATTTTGTATAACAGTTATGATAACTTGTATTACAGTATGTATAATTATTATTGTATGACTGTAGATGATCGAGGCTTGATGCTGTTGATTTATTGTTTTACAGTATTTGATACTCAATGCTTTTTTTGATATGTTTATGCCATTTTTTAATACAAAACATATATTACATTGCCTGCATTCCAAAAAGGTCATAATAAAACATGAAAAATTTCTCTGTGGTTGTTATTTCTTTGTGAATTGTTTGTTAAGTTAGCCATCTGGCAACAGCAGGTTCTACCCATCCCACCATGTACACCAATATAAGCCAGCACTAGTACATGTATAAGTTAAATCCAAAGATAAATAGACATGGCTAAATAATTCCGTTATTTTCTCTTTATGACTTCTAACAGTGGTTCGTAACACAATTACATCCTTGAATGTTAATCAAGGTTCAGTAAATAGAGGATATTGATGTTCAAGACTGAATTTATTGAAAAAGTTGAATAAAGTTCGCCTCTGTTATTATCTAATTCAACAAGTACACATGTATACACCAATATAATATTCTACTTATCACATATCAAAATAATGAGTGTTTAAAATGAAAAAGAATCATTTTTCATTGACGTGCCTATAGTGTAACGCTTACATTTAGGGCCTCTTTACACTATGTTTGTATAACGCTAATGACATTATGTCAAAGTATATGCACAGCGGTGCAATACAATTTTTACGATGTCATAAAAGCGGCACGGGTATGTGATAATTTCATTTTCTTTAACATACTAATAACCACCTCTCATCTTCAGTCTGTGAAATGTTGTACTTGATAGATACAACCATTTCTAAGAATTAATACAAATTACAACAATTTATTATGAGATAATAAAATTTTAATAAATATTTGTAAAAAATAACGAGATAAAATAGTACAACAACAACCAATATACTTCAAATTTTCCCATAATTCCATTCTTTTATTACACACCCTAGTAGTTCAATGTTTATTTCTTATTTTCTTCACTGTATTTACATATTAAATTTCTATTAAATCTTAAGAAGCAAATCATTGTTTACTTTAACGTAGATTTCTATATAAACAATACATGTAGGAGTTGTATTAAGTGATTTTGGTTCTTATGGTCTAAAATATTATTTAGTTTAACCTTTTAGCTTAGCTCCAGGACTAGCTGGCATCATAGCTAATTAATTATTTAGGGCACAGTGAAATGTCATAACCATGCCTTATCCTTACAACAAGTTATGAATATTGTTAACATTATTCTTCTAATGTCATCTTAATATTGACATCATTTCATCAACTCCAAAACTACCAAAAAATAGACAAGGTTTAAAAACTATGTATACTTGAATACTGGAAAGAAAATATTTATTTTGATAATTCACTTCAAACATTTACCTTGATATTTAAAGTATAAAATACTGACAAATAAAAAGTTAAAATGAACTACCACCAAATAAACTGTGCAATGTCTTTAGCTTTTATAAGCTATCAATTTTCAACTCTTTTATAGCATAAAAAATCCCTAACCAAAACTTGAATGAAAAACATTTAAGCCATGAATTATCATTCTTCACCAGTGATCCCTATTTCTTTTAATGTCTTTTAGACACACATGAACCTTGCATCTAAAGCAGCAGGATAATCAAAGATAAAACTTTATAATAAATTTCTAGTACTGCACAGTTGCTTTCTTTAAGCGAAATAAATATCAATTCATTAATTCCCAGCAAGTGTGTATGGTATTATAAAGTTGTCACAATAGTCCAATAAAAAACAAAGGAGTATTATAACAATGTTGATACCTATTTCATAATTATGTATTGGTTAGTATTTAATCATAAGTATTTAAAAAATTAAATTGATCAAGAAACGCACAGCCAATAGACCGATTTAATATGGTAAATGCTTACTAATATACACTTACCTAATTTAGTGTTTGAAAATATTTTCATAAACAGTCCATTTACTAGACTGATTAAGACAGCTGATTTACCAAAAATGTGTTTGATTTATCTGACAAGCCTATTGGTGTATTGGACAAAAATAATTTTAAACACTAGTATACCTTAGATAAATTATACCTTATTCCCCTGAATACATTTCCATACAGCAATGAAGGATTATAACAAAATGAATATACTTAAAGCAGTGACTGAGATTGTATTGAGCAAAATAGGTCTGGTTCAACACTCCATGATTTATAATGAATATGAACATATATTATGAAATGTATGAAGAGCTATTAAAACTTTAAAGGCACATTATGCCTCAGAAATGATTTTTTCTGATTCTTTAGAAAGGGTAAACATGATTGAGTTTTATATAATGTTTAAAGGTTTTAAAAATTTTGGATGCTTATCGCCTTAAGAAAGTAGCTCTGAATGTTAAATTATTATATTATTTGTCATTAAAGGAGCAAAAATGTAAACAATCAAGTACACCCATACAAAATACTAAATCACTATATTAATTTACTAATTGCAAAAAAAAGATGGTTCATATAATTGGCAAATGAGTAACTTTTAGCGAATTTTATTACATGCCAGCAAAATTAAAAAGCTTTTGCAAAATTAAAAATAAAATCATTTTTGGGAAATAATGTGCCTTTAATACACAAAACTTGTTACATTTAAACTGTTCACAATCAATACAACCGTGATCGTTCCTTTCAATGCTCCTTCATGCACGTACATGTATGTTCATATAGCTTTCTATAAAAAATTATTTTTAAAAAATTTAAAAATCTACATGGGATGGTTTTTGTAATTTAAAGACAGCAGCTGAAGAATATTCAAGTCCTGGTTAACAACAGTTGTAATTTATACATTATACATTATACAAATAAATACACCCATTGTGGGTCATAGAAATCACTTATAAATACTTTTTTAAAGTTGATGAAAACTTTTTACAAGATAACCATAGAAATATGAGATATAACAATCAATAAAACAAGTAAAAAAGTCATATGTTCATGAAACTAAAATGTCATGTCCAAGTCTTAACTTTATTATTAACCAAACTATAGTGGAATTTTCTGAATTTTGAAACTTTTACATTTAAGATCAAGAAGATTTAATGGTCAAAATCACAAATGACGACCTTATTAAAAGGTATGTCCTGTCTATATATAAAGACTCTAGCATATCAAATGAATATTTTTTTTACTAAGGTTACAAATGTTTGCACTGGCACAAATGTTTGCACTGGCAGACAAATTGAACAAAAATATTATATTTAAATCTGTAAGTGCAGAGGCAACAAGATGTAATTTTGCAAATTTTTTTAAAAGAAATTAAATTTTTCACAAAAGCCAAAATTTATCTTTTCAAAATAGAAAATTACAACAAACACACTAGCCATTATCAAAAAAGCAGTTAATTAATTATATTTATAAGTAATAAAATTCCCAGTAAAAACATACATTACTATGATTAAAAGCGATTGCATATGATGTATTAAAGTGGCTCTTTTATAGTAACAAAATAATGGTTCCCTCTTTCATTTTTTTTCCTTATACAGAAATCATAGCTTAATAAACATCAAAGGACAAAACTAATCTATAGTTTGTCAGTGTGTATATTCCTACCTTAAAAATGGCGAACTAAAAAAGGCATCATACTTTATTAACTTTAATATTTGGGGTAAAAAATGGAAAAACTGTACTAAACTTACTTAATTATTTCATTTTTTTTTCTTAATCACATAAAATATCCTTAAATAATGAAAGAATAGATCAGTGACCTGATCTGTTGTAAAGCTTTTATAATAGTAAAGCTAGCAACCATCAACTTTACAACCTTGATAAAAGTTTATTAAAACTGATAAAATCCAGTCATATGTCTATATATGATTCCTGCATCACTTTTGACCATATCAATGTCATAATCCTCAAGTGTTAAATCAAAGTTGTAGAACAGCCAGCACTCAAATTTCTTTGATATCCAATATCGTCACGACACTTGGCAGCTCTTTTTATTTTGTGATTCTTGTGATTGTTGCCTCTACAAAGAGAACACATGTTTTAGTCATTTTATTCAGTGAAAGTCTTATTGTATTTTTTATCTTGTACTGTATTGTATGTTTAAATAGGATTATATTCCATGCACAACTGTAATTTTCTCTCATATAATTCCAAAGCACTCAAAGAAATCAAGTGTTCTCTTCCATTAATATCTCTCTTGCTTTACTGTATATTTGGATGCTCACTCAAATATTTCTGGAGCTTTTTTTCTGGACACTATCTCTCATATATCTGTAATGTTCACTCAAGCCGATAAAATTTTGAAGATTTCTCATGAATTTGTTGATTTCTCAAAACTATGACAATATGATGCTCTTTCATTCATTCCATTCTCTTTCAAACTATCAAAATTGGGTGAACCTAATCAGACGAAAGAAACAGAAATGCCGAATCAAGATATATATTCTAGAAACTATATAGAGTAAACATATTCCATCAAAATCTGTAAATAAAACAGTGAAGAGAGTAGGAAACATTTCTTTCATTTATCTACTTTCTTTTAATACAGTCATGTTTGACAAAGTAATATGCATCAAATTCATATTAAACTTTTGTATTGATGCTTTTTCTGCCAGTATTTTTGGCCATGCATCTGCAGACAACACTGTCATTTATTTCAATGACTGCTGACAACTTGGTAAAACCACAAACCAAGCAGGTACATGTGTATTACTATAAGATAACAGTCTTATACGATCAATAATTGTAACCTATGTAAGATGTTTAAAACATGCAGCATCAAAGTTTGATATACCAACTATAACACTGTATTATCAACTAATTACCTGACTATTTGTTCGTCTCCTTGCCTCTTCTTCACTAGCTGCCAGAGCTTGAGCAAGTAACAAATCTTCTTCTTCCTGACTTAAACTGTTAATGTAAGTAAATATTAAATATTCATTTCTGACTTAAACTGTTAATCTTTGTTATCACATTTCTAGCAAAAGCACAAAAACCAGTACAAATTATATCATTTTATAATATTATCATAATTTCAAAGAAAATCTGAAAATCTTGAAATGAGCCGTGTCATGACAAAACCAACATAGTGCATCCGTGCAGTCTGATCAGGATCCATGCTGTTCGCTTACCAACCCTATTAAAAATAGAGAAACTGATAGCGAAGAGCATGGATCCTGATCAGACTGCGCGGATGCGCAGGCTGGTCTGGATCCATCCTGGTCGCGAACGCACTAATGTTGTTTTGTCATGACACGGCTCAAATGTTGAGTTTTATTGGATATTCATGTTATACTATCCATATAGATGGTAAAACATAAATTTACTAAAACTTTCATCCAGGAAAGTAATTCTGCATCTATAATCCGTGTTATTTAGTTGTTTACAGCAATTTACTTTATAACCCTAGTCTAGCAGATCAGTTTATATGGGCCCTCTTCATTCATAATGTGCCATTTTACCAATCACATAACAGTTACTATATGTATTCTGGGACTCAAAATAACAGAACTGGCAACTTGCGCTTTCTTATCAGTCACTATGTTGGTGTTCAATTGAAATCGACCAATCACTTGCTTATGACAATAATATTACAAGATTACTCACGTATTATTGGTATTGGAGGGTTTTGTAGCCTGAGTCTCAGATAGTGACTGTTGTATTGCACGAGCCATAGCTTCTTCTTCTGACTACAAAACATTAAAATAACTGTGTACAAAGTGTTCTTAAAATTATTATCTCTTTGACTTTAACTACCTAACAATAATTATTTCAAATAAAGCAGAGAGTACATCACACAATTAACAAGAGGGCCATGATGGCCCTGAGGTCGCTCACCTGTATATAGGCCCCCCAACCCCCACCCACCCTCCAACGTTGCAGGGCCAATTTAACCCAAGGGCTTTTATTTGCACAAACTCTGTAGACACCCATAAGAAGATGTTTCATGCTAAACATCTAAGCTCTAGCTCATTGGGCTTTTTGAAAGAAGATTTTTTTTAAGTTTTTACTATACACATATAGTTAAAAACAATGACACCCCTGGGGCCGGACCAGTTTTGACCCCAGGGCTTTTATTTGAACAAACTTTGTAGACACTTACTAGAAGATGTTTCATGCTTAATATCTAAACTCTAGCTATTTGGGTTTTTTCAAAGAAGATTTTTTTTAAGTTTTTACTATACACATATAGTTAAAAACAATGACACCCCTGGGGCCGGACCAGTTTTGACCCCAGGGCTTTTATTTGAACAAACTTTGTAGACACTTACTAGAAGATGTTTCATGCTTAATATCTAAACTCTAGCTATTTGGGTTTTTTCAAAGAAGATTTTTAAGTTTTTGCTATACACATATAAAGAAAATCAATGACCCCCGGGGCGGGGCCAATTTTGACCCCAGGTCTTTTATTTGAACAAACTTTGTAGACACTCACTAAAAGATGTTTCATGCTTAATATCTTAACTCTAGCTATTTGGGTTTTTTCAAAGAAGATTTTTTAAGTTTTTGCTATACACATATAAGGAAAATCAATGACCCCCGGGGCGGTGCCAATTTTGACCCCAGGGCTTTTATTTGAACAAACTTGGTAGACACCTATTAGAACATGTTTGATGCTAAATATCTTAGCCATAGCTCTTTGAGTTCTTTAAAAGAAGATTTTTTAAGTTTTTACTATAATGCATATAGGGAAAATCAATGATCCCCCGGGGCGGGCCCAATTTTGACCCCAGGGCTTTTATTTGAACAAACTTGGTAGACACCTATTAGAACATGTTTGATGCTCAATATCTTAGCCATAGCTCTTTGAGTTCTTTAAAAGAAGATTTTTTAAGTTTTTACTATATGCATATAGGGAAAATCAATGACCCCCCGGGGCGATGCCAATTTTGACCCCAGGGCTTTTATTTGAACAAACTTGGTAGACACCCATTAGAACATGTTTCATGCTAAATATCTTAGCTGTAGCTCTTTTGGTTTGTTAAAAGAAGATTTCTTAAGTTTTTACTATATGCATAAAGGGAAAATCAATGACCCCCCGGGGCGAGGCCAATTTTGACCCCAGGGCTTTTATTTGAACAGACTTGGTAGACACTTATTAGAACATGTTTCATGCTAAAAATCTTTAGCTCTAGCTCTTTTGGTTCTTTAAAAGAAGATTTTTTAAGTTTTTACTATATGCATATAGGGAAAATCAATGACCCCCCGGGGCGGGGCCAATTTAGACCCCAGGGCTTTTATTTGAACAAACTTGGTAGACACCTATTAGAAAATGTTTCATGCTAAATATCTTAGCTGTAGCTCTTTTGGTTCTTTAAAAGAAGATTTTTTAAGTTTTTACTATATGCATATAGGGAAAATCAATGACCCCCCGGGGCAGGGCCAATTTTGACCCCAGGGCTTTTATTTGAACAAACTTGGTAGACACTCACTAGAAGATGTTTCAGGCCAAATATCTAAGCTCTAGCTCTTATGGTTTTTTAATAGAAGATTTTTTACATTTTTACTATATGTATATAGGGAAAATCAATGACCCCCCCCCCCCCCCGGGCGGGGCCAATTTTGACCCAAGGGCTTATATTTGAACAAACTTGGTAGACACTTATTAGAACATGTTTCATGCTAAATATCTTAGCTTTAACTCTTTTGGTTCTTTAAAAGAAGATTTTTTAAGTTTTTACTATATGCATATAGGGAAAATCAATGACCCCCCAGGGCGGGGCCAATTTAGACCCCAGGGCTTTTATTTGAACAAACTTGGTAGACACCTATTAGAACATGTTTGATGCTAAATATCTTAGCCATAGCTCTTTGGGTTCTTTAAAAGAAGATTTTTTAAGTTTTTACTATATGTATATAGGGAAAATCAATGACCCCCCGGGGCGGGGCCAATTTTGACCCCAGGGCTTTTATTTGAACAAACTTGGTAGACACCCATTAGAACATGTTTCATGCTAAATATCTTAGCTATAGCTCTTTTGGTTCTTTAAAAGAAGATTTTTTAAGTTTTTACTATATGTATATAGGGAAAATCAATGACCCCCCGGGGCAGGGCCAATTTTGACCCCAGGGCTTTTATTTGAACAAACTTGGTAGACACTCACTAGAAGATGTTTCGTGCCAAATATCTAAGCTCTAGCTGTTACGGTTTTTTAAAAGAAGATTTTTTAAAGTTTTTTCTTTCGGTTGCCATGGCAACCAGAGTTCTGCATGGAATTAAATTCTTTGAACAATTTTTAAAGGTGACCACCAAAGGAACATTCCTGTGAAGTTTGGATGAAATTGGCTTAGTGGTTTATGAGGAGATGTCATTTTAAGTAAAAGTTTACGGACGGACGTACGGACGGACGCCGGACGGACGCCGGACGAAAAGCGATCACAAAAGCTCACCCTGTCACTTTGTGACAGGTGAGCTAAAAATAAACAAGTTTTTGATTGACACATTAAAAAGTATCATAAAACCTTTCAACACCTTTAAAACTAAACCCAACATTAATTATATAAAGAAAAGCTCAATAGGCTTACATTACAAGACAAAGAATTTAACAATAAAAATAAGACAGTAAAATGACAAAAGATCCAGTAATAAATTAAAATATCTGCTATTGAAGACATTGACCATGTACATAAAATTTACAAGGGTATCAAACTATATCCTTTAGTAATGGATCTTCAAGTTTGTATATGAACATATGAGCCGCGTCACGACAAAACCAACATAGTGTGTTTGTGACCAGCATGGATCCAGACCAGCAGTCTGATCAGGATCCATGCTGTTCGCTTACAGTAAATAAACTGATAGCGAACAGCATGGATCCTGATCAGACTGCACGGATGTGCAGGCTGGTCTGGATCCATGCTGGTCGCAAACCCATTATGTTGGTTTTGTCATGATGCGGCTCATATATTGTAGATATTATAGAAGGGACAATATCACAAAAAAGTTCAGAGAAAGCAGCTTACCAAACCTGCCTGAGCTGCTCGAAGATTCTGTGTACCCTGTTGCTGTCTTTCTCTCCTTTGTCTGTAAATATAAAACATATCAACTATATTTTAAATCAACTCGCATGTTGGTGTTCTTTATGATTGATAAACCTTTTCTTATTCTCTAAAACCTAGACATCACTTTCTCCAACTCAACATAATTTTTTAACAAGAACTGTCGGAGGACAGTAACGCTCGACTATTCGAAAATTTGTCACAAGAGTGTTTCATTGAGTATAATAATGCTTACCTATATGAATACATAAAATTGTCCGAAAAGGTGCAAACCCTTCAAGTTTCAATACATTCCCTTTAGTAGCTATGGAGATACAAGCTTACACACAAAAACTTAACCAAGAATTTATGAATCAAAAAAGGAGCATAATTATGCGAAAAAGTAAATCAGAGTTATGGGACTTGTGCCAATCATTTTAGATAATCACAGACAACAAGAGTGTGAAGTTTCAATCCATTCCCTTTAGTAGTTATTGAGATACCAGCTTACACGCAAAAACTTAACCAAAAATTTCTAAGTCAAAAAAGGGGCATAATTATGTAAAAAGGCAAATCAGAGTTATGGGATTTGTGCCAATCATCTTAGATAATCACAGAGAACAAGTGTGTGAAGTTTCAATCCATTCCCTTCAGTAGTTATGGAGATTACCAGCTTACACGCAAAAACTTAACCAAGAATTTCTAAGTCGAAAAAGGGGCATAATTATGTAAAAAGGCAAATCAGAGTTATGGGACTTGTTCCAATCATCTTAGATAATCACAGAGAACAAGTGTGTGAAGTTTCAATCCATTCCCTTCAGTAGTTATGGAGATACCAGCTTACATACAAAAACTTAACCAAGAATTTCTAAGTCGAAAAAGGGGCATTTTTATGTAAAAAAGCAAATCAGAGTTATGGGACTTGTGCCAATCATCTTAGATAATCACAGAGAACAAGTGTGTGAAGTTTCAATCCATTCCCTTCAGTAGTTATGAAGATACCAGCTTACATACAAAAACTTAACCAAGAATTTCTAAGTCGAAAAAGGGGCATAATTATGTAAAAAAGCAAATCAGAGTTATGGGACTTGTGCCAATCATCTTAGATAATCACAGAGAACAAGTGTGTGAAGTTTCAATCCATTCCCTTCAGTAGTTATGGAGATACCAGCTTACATACAAAAACTTAACCAAGAATTTCTAAGGCGAAAAAGGGGCATAATTATGTAAAAAAGCAAATCAGAGTTATGGGACTTGTGCCAATCATCTTAGATAATCACAGAGAACAAGTGTGTGAAGTTTCAATCCATTCCCTTCAGTAGTTATGGAGATACCAGCTTACATACAAAAACTTAACCAAGAATTTCTAAGTCGAAAAAGGGGCATTATTATGTAAAAAAGCAAATCAGAGTTATGGGACTTGTGCCAATCATCTTAGATAATCACAGAGAACAAGTGTGTGAAGTTTCAATCCATTCCCTTCAGTAGTAATGGAGATACCAGCTTACATACAAAAACTTAACCAAGAATTTCCAAGTCGAAAAAGGGGCATAATTATGTAAAAAAGCAAATCAGAGTTATGGGACTTGTGCCAATCATCTTAGATAATCACAGAGAACAAGTGTGTGAAGTTTCAATCCATTCCCTTCAGTAGTTATGGAGATACCAGCTTACATACAAAAACTTAACCACAGGGACGCCGACGCCGACAAATGGGTGACTGCATTAGCTCGATTATTCTGTGAATAGTCGAGCTAAAAATGCAAAAAAAATTATTAATTTTGCATTAAGAAATTCTTCAAAAAACAAGAACTGTCGGAGGACAGTAACGCTCGACTATTCGAAAATTTGTCACAAGGGTGTTTCATTGAGCATAATAATGCTTACCTATATGAATACATTAAATTGTCCGAAAAGGTACAAACCCTTTCAATACATTCCCTTCAGTAGTTATGGAGATACAAGCTTACACACAAAAACTTAACCAAGAATTTATGAATCGAAAAAGGGGCATAATTATGCAAAAAAGTAAATCAGAGTTATGGGACTTGTGCCAATCATCTTAGATAATCACAGACAACAAGAGTGTGAAGTTTCAATCCATTCCCTTCAGTAGTTATGGAGATACCAGCTTACATACAAAAACTTAACCAAGAATTTCTAAGTAAAAAAAGGGGCATAATTATGCAAAAAAGCAAATCAGAGTTATGGGACTTGTGCCAATCATCTTAGATAATCACAGAGAACAAGTGTGTGAAGTTTCAATCCATTCCCTTCAGTATTTATGGAGATACCAGCTTACATACAAAAACTTAACCAAGAATTTCTAAGTTGAAAAAGGGGCATAATTATGTAAAAAAAGCAAATCAGAGTTATGGGACTTGTGCCAATCATCTAAGATAATCACAGAGAACAAGTGTGTGAAGTTTCAATCCATTCCCTTCAGTAGTTATGGAGATACCAGCTTACATACAAAAACTTAACCAAGAATTTCTAAGTCGAAAAAGGGGCATTTTTATGTAAAAAAGCAAATCAGAGTTATGGGACTTGTGCCAATCATCTTAGATAATCACAGAGAACAAGTGTGTGAAGTTTCAATCCATTCCCTTCAGTAGTTATGGAGATTACCAGCTTACACGCAAAAACTTAACCAAGAATTTCTAAGTCGAAAAAGGGGCATAATTATGTAAAAAGGCAAATCAGAGTTATGGGACTTGTTCCAATCATCTTAGATAATCACAGAGAACAAGTGTGTGAAGTTTCAATCCATTCCCTTCAGTAGTTATGGAGATACCAGCTTACATACAAAAACTTAACCAAGAATTTCTAAGTCGAAAAAGGGGCATTTTTATGTAAAAAAGCAAATCAGAGTTATGGGACTTGTGCCAATCATCTTAGATAATCACAGAGAACAAGTGTGTGAAGTTTCAATCCATTCCCTTCAGTAGTTATGGAGATACCAGCTTACATACAAAAACTTAACCAAGAATTTCTAAGTCGAAAAAGGGGCATTATTATGTAAAAAAGCAAATCAGAGTTATGGGACTTGTGCCAATCATCTTAGATAATCACAGAGAACAAGTGTGTGAAGTTTCAATCCATTCCCTTCAGTAGTAATGGAGATACCAGCTTACATACAAAAACTTAACCAAGAATTTCCAAGTCGAAAAAGGGGCATAATTATGTAAAAAAGCAAATCAGAGTTATGGGACTTGTGCCAATCATCTTAGATAATCACAGAGAACAAGTGTGTGAAGTTTCAATCCATTCCCTTCAGTAGTTATGGAGATACCAGCTTACATACAAAAACTTAACCACAGGGACGCCGACGCCGACGCCGACAAATGGGTGACTGCATTAGCTCGATTATTCTGTGAATAGTCGAGCTAAAAATGCAAAAAAAATTATTAATTTTGCATTAAGAAATTCTTCAAAAAACAAGAACTGTCGGAGGACAGTAACGCTCGACTATTCGAAAATTTGTCACAAGGGTGTTTCATTGAGCATAATAATGCTTACCTATATGAATACATTAAATTGTCCGAAAAGGTACAAACCCTTTCAATACATTCCCTTCAGTAGTTATGGAGATACAAGCTTACACACAAAAACTTAACCAAGAATTTATGAATCGAAAAAGGGGCATAATTATGCAAAAAAGTAAATCAGAGTTATGGGACTTGTGCCAATCATCTTAGATAATCACAGACAAGAAGAGTGTGAAGTTTCAATCCATTCCCTTCAGTAGTTATGGAGATACCAGCTTACATACAAAAACTTAACCAAGAATTTCTAAGTAAAAAAAGGGGCATAATTATGCAAAAAAGCAAATCAGAGTTATGGGACTTGTGCCAATCATCTTAGATAATCACAGAGAACAAGTGTGTGAAGTTTCAATCCATTCCCTTCAGTAGTTATGGAGATACCAGCTTACATACAAAAACTTAACCAAGAATTTCTAAGTTGAAAAAGGGGCATAATTATGTAAAAAAAGCAAATCAGAGTTATGGGACTTGTGCCAATCATCTAAGATAATCACAGAGAACAAGTGTGTGAAGTTTCAATCCATTCCCTTCAGTAGTTATGGAGATACCAGCTTACACGCAAAAACTTAACCAAGAATTTCTAAGTCGGAAAAGGGGCATAATTATGTAAAAAAGTAATTCAGAGTTATGGGACTTGTGCCAATCATCTTAGATAATCACAGAGAACAAGTGTGTGAAGTTTCAACCCATTCCCTTCAGTAGTTATGGAGATACCAGCTTACATACAAAAACTTAACCAAGAATTTCCAAGTCGAAAAAGGGGCATAATTATGTAAAAAAGCAAATCAGAGTTATGGGACTTGTGCCAATCATCTTACATAATCACAGAGAACAAGTGTGTGAAGTTTCAATCCATTCCCTTCAGTAGTTATGGAGATACCAGCTTACATACAAAAACTTAACCACAGGGACGCCGACAAATGGGTGACTGCATTAGCTCGATTATTCTGCGAATAGTCGAGCTAAAAATGTAATATTTTAAACATTTTTGTTCTGCCTAAAGTCAAACTGACAATGTAATGCTCACATGGTAACATTCCAGATTTATTTATTAAGGAAAAACTCCAAACATGGTAATATTGATCGAAATTTAAAACATCAAAACCTAATATAATATAGGCCAATTTATAACACTTTCACCTTCATCTGCTGAAAAATAAAATATTTCTTATAATTATATTCCAGATGATATAAAATATATTACCTATCTAAGTCACTTCCAAGTCCAAATCCTAAACTATGTAATGTCCTTTGCTGTGGAGGTCGATTGGCTGGTTTTGCGTTAGAAGGCGGAGCTTTAGATTGACTGGCAGGTTGTTGAAGGCGTGACAGAGCAGCAGAACTGTAAATAGACATTTTTTTACATCAGCCATTTTGATCAGGTAAAATCTTTGGTATCATTCAATCAGTTCACAGAATAAAACACATATCAAAACTGTTATACATGTATTAGAATGTCTCATATCTGCATTTCAGGTATATATGCACAACCATTATAACAAAATGCTATATATTTGCAGCATTTACAAAATTCTAAATTCAAAACTTAGTATCAAATTATAACAAAACCTAAATGCTGAGTTCTAGTAAAGTCAGTGTTAGGTGTGTTTTGTAGCATCTGGCATCTATCACTGGTGTCATTGAACAGGTCCTATCAAACTGAGCCTGTCACAATTTCAGTTCTGCTGTGTTTGGGCAACTTTAGTTTAACTATTCTATTCTTTAAAGTGACATTATGCCCATCCATTTGTAGATATAGAGTGAACAGGTGAAAGTCAAAATAAGTTAACATTTTCTCATAATTCCTTCAATTTTATAATTTACTTCACATGAACGATAAATAACTCACTAGGCCCAGTGAAAAGTGTGTAATTATCCGTCGGAATGTATCTGTAACTTTCAATTTATAAAATGAGTGGGGCAGTCCTTTTATATATTTAGGTAGATTTACTTTTACCCTAAACATTTTCAAATATCATGTGTTGGTCAATCACCATTATAACGACCAGTTTATTGAAATATATATTTAATTTAAGTTAATTTGACAATGAAACAATGAGCATAATGTCACTTTAAAGGTCCATTATGCCTCAGAAATTATTTTATTTTCATTTCTGACAAGCTTTTTAATTTTGGTGTACTTTTTATAATATCCAAAAACTTACTAGAAAACCACCAGGGGCCGTATTCACAACTGATCTTAAGTTATTTCTTAAGTTAAAACATAAGTTGAAAAAAAAATCTTATATTTAAGTCAAAAAATTAACTTAAGATCAGTTGTGAATACGGCCCCTGAATCATCTTTTCATCTGTTGCTTTTAAGTATTAAAATGGTGCAATTTGGAATCACGTATCATCCATAGATGCATTTGCCATTGATAAATGGATAGCACAATTCAAACCATGAAAGAACTCTAAATTAACCATACAAACAAAATTTACCCTGCATTAGACATTCCTTTCCCTGAACCTTGGTAACCCTGACAATCATGATCATCTTCAAATCTGTGACGTAAACAATAGTTCTTATGGCATTTATCACACTTTACTGGAATTAATTCTTTAACTTTACAACCTTTCATAGAACACTTGTTTGTATATACCTGTAAGGCAGAAATAATTATTCTGTATTAATTAATAGGCAAGAACTATTTCAGTAGAATACCAAGACACTTTGCTATTTAATTTTTTTTCTTGTTTTTTTTTCTCCCCAAAACACTTATTTGGAATTTGTTAATTACCAAATTCATATTTTATTAACCCAGAAAGCATGCACTTACAAAACATGAAAACTAAGTGTGACATTCTTAATCATCACTAAAAGACAAAAATGCTCATATAATCTTTGCTTCACTGCTTAATTTTTTTAACTTCAATGTTGAATAAAATAATATGCTTTCCAGAGGCTTGCGTAACATTATTCAATTCTACTTGTTGAATAAATTTAGTATGAACCCTACACCCATCCAATTTCATCTATAATATGGTTAATGAAAGTTACTTAAATACAGATAAACCATTTGACATCTGTTGCAAGACTGTACTAGATATTAATGAATAATCAATCTAATTCTATGACCAGTATTACATACTTTTCTTCTTTCTTTAGCAGGATCTGACTGGCAGTCACTGTCTATATGTCGTCCTACAACTGTGTCTGGTAACTCTCCTTTCTTTAGAGGAATTGGTTTGTTACATAGAGGACATACAGGCACTTGGTTATCCTGGTGTACAAATAATAAACACATATTGAGATATATTAATATTATAAGTATTCTGCACATTAGATTAATATTGCAATTCAACAATACAAATACATAGGTAATAATCTAAGCAATGGTGCATATATTAACTTCATTGAAAGTTTGTATAAATTCCAAATATTGTATTATTTTACCTCTTTTGGAGACTTAACTTCATGTTAAAATAGAGAATACGTGTATGTTGATCAAAAAGAGAATATAAAGAGTGAAATGGTTTCAAAAGTATATACTCAATATAACATAGCCACATAAAAATGAGAAAATACCAAATAATTTGAAAAAACAATTTGTTTTAACACTTAATACATGTACAACAAGCAAGCTATCAGTTAACCATATTTTACTAAGACATTAAAATAAAACTGAATAACTAAGTCAATGTTTTTTATATTCAGATTAATGAAATCAAATTGCATCAATGCACAAGCTCACCATTCTTTTAAACTTATAGTATCTATAGGCAAGACAATACTACAAGAGAATAAAGATACTAACCTTCTTGTAAGAATCAGGACAGGAATGTGTGTTGTAGTGAATATGGTCATTACTGAAATAAAACAGAATGAACAGTATCAATTTACATGAACAATATCTTAGAATTGTTCAAAAACCTTGCATTTATTTAAATAGTTGTTTGTTTGTTTGTTGTTTGTTTCATTTTACGCCCTTTCCCAACAGTATTTCAGTCATATAGGCTGTTAGTTTCCTAACCATCGTTCCTGAAGAGTTACACCAGTACTAGACTACCTTCCTCCATGCTAAACTACCAAAGCATCTCCCGGGGATCGAACCCATGCAAGAGAGGTAACTGGATTAGAAGTCATCGATTTTAACCCCTCGACCACGGAGGCGGTCTTAAATATTTATGGCATTCTTCAATAATTCACCTTCCTTAACCACTACAGTTTGTTCTTTATGTTAAAATAATAGTATACAAGGTCATAATATAAGGGTGACTCACTGACTCTGATGCATTTAACCAATACATGTATTTCTTCCTGACAGCTAACTGCTATATTATATAAGAACAAGCCAGTCATAACATAATTATGATCCATGGTCATTTTTTTTTTTGGAAGACACAGTAGCCACTGTGCAACTAACTGCAACATTTTTTTTTCAGAATAAGTTTTTCATTTAACTTTTATAAAGAAATTACTGTACTCTAAAATATTGAGATTCCTTTCAATTCTTACCAAAATATCTCTGAACAAGCATCACATTTCATAGGTAGGAAATCTGAAATAGTAACATAATGCACCTGATTATAAATATAAATGTGAGTAACTAAACAGGTTAATCCAAGAAGTTGTTTTAACAGAACTTGAACTTGTAAAACAACATTCAAGTAATTGCAATATCTTTATTTGTTTGTTTGTTTGTTTCATTTTACACCTTTTCCCAACAGTATTTCAGTCATATAGGCGGATAGTTTCCTAACCATCATTCCTGGAGAGTTACACCAGTACTAGACTACCTTCCTCAGCGCTAAATTAACAAAGCATCTCCAGGGGATCAAACCCACGCCAGAGAGGTAACTGGATTAGAAGTCATCGACTCTAACCCCTGGACCACGGAGGCGGTTTTTTTAAAATAATAATGAAATGGAAATGTCATAGGATGAAACATACCAAACAGGGCTTCCATTAATGGAAGTTTGGGAGTTAATTACTCCATGATTTTGGCTTGTGACTTCCAAAATTTTTTAATGCTTTTCCTACTTTACCTATATAATGTGACTTCCAATTTTAGACACTTTGCAGTCTCTGCATGACTTCCAAATTTTGGAACTTAATGGAAGCCCTGTTAACCAAACAGTTCTAAAGAAGTTCTGAAGTATTCTTTCCTATTCAAAACTTTTTACAGACTTAAAGAAAATCTTTAAATTTATGAGGGTATTCAGTCATTCAGTGATTTTTTTCACTGTATTTTACAGCCGAATAATTAAAGGCTGTCTCCCCTAACCTAAAATAGGTATATTTTCTCCTAAAAATGTTAATATTTCCCCTAAAATGCCTCATGCTCTTCCTTACCAGAGCAGCTGACTTATATCAGCTAATAGGCAGGAAGTTTCTATTTCTACATCATACTGCTTTAAAATCGTTTTCGATCACTCTAAGCAGGTATACATTGTATACATTTAAGAGACAGCTATAAGATACAAGGGAATCCGGGAACCAGTCCCTAGCTCTTATTGAATAGACCCCTTGGTTCTTTTACATGCCCAGTGTCAGTGATTTTCCTACTAATATAACAGACTCCGAAAAAAGGCCTCTTCCCAATTGAAATTTTCTTTAAAATCATGCAGTTTTCCCAAAAATCTGAACTTAATCCAGCTTTTTTTCTTCCCAAACAGCTATTTTAGCAATGATTTTTCCCAAAAGCAAGAGGCTAAGGCCTCTTCCCATCTAAGTGAGAAAAATCACTGAGTGTATAGCACTGATACATGCGAGGATTACCTGGATTTCTTACCAGTACACCTCTAGGTAGGTGGGAAACACTGAAAGTGTTTCTGAAAAATCCCAAGGGTGTAACCCAGGATCGAACCCGGGACCTCAGGAGTGATAATCAGTGGGCTATCCCCATAGATAGCTCTGCTATGTACCATGTCTGTTAAATTTTTTTTTTACATAAAATGTATAGGTAAATTTCAATTTCAGTTGTTGGAATTTGATTTCAGGTTTCTCCCTTTTCTGATTTATCGCGCTATCCCCTTCAGAAAGCTACAGGTTGTTTTGAAAATTGGAAAAAAAATCACTGGTATTTTTTACGGAAATTCCGTGAATTCTCTCTAAGTTTACCCCACCCACCTATTTTACCTAACTTGTTGATACAATTTTGTTATAGCTACAATTTTCTATTCAAGTTACAAAAACAAATACAAACCTAATTGTTTACAATCTTTCTGAAAGCAGTGCTTTCCTATATGCGGAAATTCCATCTTTTTTGGTTGACAATAGTTGTTAAATCCTCTCTGTTTTAAATGGAACAGTGATTTGGCAGAATTGGGAATTCATTTACTATTTATAGCTATTTTGAACAGCCTCGTTTCAAAAGTAGAACGTTCGGGAAATACCTATTGCGTCATTAACAAAACAGCAATATTTAAAGGTATAAAACCACTAAAGATGTTCGGTTCAACATCACTAAATAGGTAATATTTTCACACCCAACTTAAACTCATGAGCTGTTTATCTTTTTACTAGAAGCTCTTATAATATCATCAACTTGTGTTTATATAAATGATTAGTTTCTGATAGAGATGTCTTCTGCTGTCAATTGAAAATTGAGCTTTTTTAACGGACCTTTTTTAACTGTTAAATTACAGCCAAATTTAACAGAAATTTTAAACATAGATTATATAAAGAAATTTTATAAAGAATTTTTTATATTGATACTTAAGTCTTTTAAATGCTTAGAGGTTTGAGAACTGGTTTGTCAATGATAATTAATGAACTAAAGTATTTTACTTTTCACTGAACCTTTATTACGCCAAATATCTTTCAATCTGGACAAAATCATTCATTAGCTTAAGCAAAAATTTAAAGAATACCTCTTGTAGTTTCAGACAAGGTTCAAAAATTCCAAAATTTGCCAAGGCAGAGTTACTGTTCTTTGCACTGCACTTCTACTTATTGAGATCTATCTATGTACAGACTTATTTTCTTGTCCATACCTCTTGTAGTTTCACAATTATGTCCCTAACAAAGTTCACAGTGTAAAGTTGTAAAAGGGCAATAACTCCAAAAATAGGCATGGCAGAGTTATAGTTCTTTTGCACAGCATGTCTGCACAATCAGATCTATCTCGATACAAAGTTTCATGTTGATATTTCTAATAGTATCAGAGTTATGTCTTGGACAAAGTTAAATTTTAGTGAAAAAAAGAACAAATGGCAGTAACTCCAAAATTAGGCAAGGCAAAGTCACAGTTCTTTTGCATTGCTCATCTACATAATGAGATCTATCTACCAACAAAGTATCTTGTTCTGTCAGAGTTATGTCCAAATCAAAGTTCAGTCAATGAACAATAACTCCAAAATTACGCAAGACAGAGTTACGGTTCTTTTGCACTGCACATCTACCAAATGAGATCTATCTGCCTACAAAGTTTCATGTTGATATCTATTATAGTTTCAGAGTTATGTCTCGGACAAGAAAAGCGGACGGACAGACAGACAAAGCGGCAACTATATGCTCACCCTTCAGGGAGCATAAAAATGAGTACTGACTGAGAAGCTAACAGGGGTATTCTAAGAGATTTGCCCCCCTCAGATATTTGCTCACATATTTTTACTTTGCAGACATTTGCCCCTCAAATAAAGGGTTAACATTTGCTCCATGAAAAGTTAATAGCAGACATTTGTCTGGTACTTCTATGAGGTTCTGAATGCGTTCCCAGTATATGGTCTTTTAATACCGCAACAGTTGATCAAGTAAACGTCAAAAATAGATGTAGTAATGATCATGACTGAGCCATGCAGTTTTGCATATGGACATGTAGTCTGCACTTCATATTATATACTGATGTCAAAATAGAAGTGACAAGGACATGGATGACCTGATGAGTAGGTTATTTAGAAAGTCAATCTAAATATGCCACAGCAGTCAATGCACTAATGCTGCTTCCGATGCAGGTAAAAAGACTACATGAATAAGTGAAGTCAATTTAAGTGCTAAATATAAAGGGCAAATGCTTTGTCAGATACCCATGGCCGAACTATTAACATTTATCAACCTTGGGTATCCGACGATTGGGCAAATGCTATTCAGCATCATCTTATTTCAAGACATTATAAATTTCTTTTAAATAAAAGCATTGATGTTCTAATGAAAATGATTAAAAGGATATAAAAGACAACAAAAATATTGGATTTCTGATTTTTACTTTCTTAAAAATTCAAAAAAATACTGTATATGTTTCAACTACACTACTTGTACACATTTTTTGTCAAAGCATACATTTTTAAATTAATGCAAAGATATACATGAATGTGTGTTCATACCTGTTTTCAAACTACAAACTTTCTACATAGATTTATTGAGGTGACTATAAACTAGAAAGAATATCTGGCAGTAAAGTTTCTAAGCCACCTTATACTATCACCTTGTCATCATCTACCTTAAATACTATGTCATCAATTTTAAAACAAAATTTATTTGTATGGGGATATTTTTCACATTGTATTATGAATAAAAAAGGACACTTAATAAAACAAAAACTGATGCTGTGTCTTTAAGCTTTATGTTGGTGAGTTTGTAAGATGGTGTGTGGTCTGTGAATTCATCGGCTATCAGTACGGGGTCTGGTCAGGCTGTGCAGACAGGTACACTATCCCTGCTAGATACTGGTAACATGCACCTGTTTTTCACATAAAATTTCACCACTTTTTTGAGATTCTATGCAAGTGTGGTAAGTCATAAAAAAAAAGTTTAAATGAAAATAGATCTATAAAAACATGTTCCTGATGTTTTTTTACAAAATTAAAAAAATATATATGGTGTTAGTTTTTGATGACAATACAATACATAAATAATTAAAATATCATAAATTAATCTACAAAATGTCAAGAACAAAATATAAAGAAAAAAAATAAATATAGCAAATCTACAAGACACTGGACGGATTTGGAATGAAAGTGAAATTTAAAACACAAACAGCAAAGATGGCCTATTTAGCCTACCATTTGCAAAATATATAAAGTGCTGCAGTTAAATATGGAGAATATAGAACTCCATCAGTATTCAAAATCAATAAATACCAATCTTTTTATATATTTTTTTTTACACTCGATCTTTCAGCCAATCAAATGGCTTCAAACAGATAAGTTTTCAAGCTATATAACAGCACATTTGATTGGTAAAGTAACCCTTTATGGGGCATAATATCACAGATACTGGTTCTTCCTATTCAGTTCTTGCTTTAGACAAACAATTTCTATCATAGAATCTAATAGAATAACAGCTACAAATGAGCTAAAAACCACGAAAAAAGTGAAAATCAATTCTTCCATTCCTTTCCAAGAATACAAGTACAGCATCATATCTGTCCTGATAGATAGTCTTTCTAAAACAAGAACTTTGACAAGTTAAGATAAAGTTTATCACAGTAGCACACACTACAAAAATACTTTTTTTACATAAAGTACATCTTTTTAATCTACCATATAACTTATAAAACAAATTGTTTTCCATCAACATTTATCCATGATTCACAACATTATACAGGACTTGAAGCATTATTGACGGCCCATAACATAAACCAGTGAATAATCACTCAAACATTTACCATCCGTGCAATAAATGTTGTGAATCAAGGATTTGCTTAAGATTCCCTTTCCTTTCAATCAATAAATACAAAAACGTTCTATGTACGTACTGGTCCCTTTTATAAAAGCCACAACATATAAAATATCATTTCGGCACTTCTGGTAAATAACAATAAATAGCTTCACCCGATGTTAAAGAGAACAAAATGTCAGTTGAATGCCACAATGCAATCACTCATCTTTTATTATTAAGTAAAGACAGTGTTGCATGCAATCTTCAAAAAATATTTTTACTTTTATCTCTCCAAAAAAAGAATTTGTACAATTTTACAACTATTTTCGAAAACAGCTTTTCACAGTTCTTTTTTGTTCATAAATAAAGAATGTTATATAAATTGTTCTATAAGTTATCAAAGTAGATCGGAGTTGTAACTTTTAGTTGCAGTGTCGGGATCCTCTAGGGAGTAGCCACTGCGGTCAGGTGATCGACGACGGGAAGAACTAAGATACGATGTTTCTGGGCTACGGCTCCTGAATCTGAAAGGAATTTATGTTGCTTAGTAACACAGTGGAAAACTATCATCATTTGAATATTCTAATGATCAGATGTTGAAATATTTTATATAAATTATACCAATTGATTTCATAGAAGTCACTAACATCAAATTTACAAAGATACTGGTTTAATATTATGTTGTACATATTTATAACAGTGGGTTAATAGCTAAATATACATTTTCTACATTGTATTTAGAAACTTTGATCATGACATAATTGTACTGTTTTTGTTTAAGTAATAACCTTAAAATATGCAAACTTTGCCAATTTGAATGGCCAAATAAGCATGGGAATATGAAATATTTATATCTTTACAGAGACTGAACTATCATACACTTGTTCAATATACAAAATCAATGACTTATAGATTAGATTGAATATATCTAGTATTCTATATATAAAGTTTATATAATATCTACCTGGTAGGACTTCGTGAGCGAGACCTTGGAGACCTGATGGGACTTGTTGACCTGTACCTGCTGGTGCTGCTCGTGTAGTCCATAGTAGGGGTCGGTGGTACGAGCCCATGTCGTCTCAATTCCTGCACTGCCCGCTCCCTGTAACATACACATGTGTAAGTATAAAATACTACATAAATAATATCAAATAAATAATACTCATTAAATATGAATGTCAATGTCATCTTAACATGGAGCTTCAATTCTGCTCTTAAAACCTTCATTTTCTTCATGAATAGAAAGCTAATTGCATCAAAGATAATGTCGTAATGTCTTAACACTGTTTTAAATTTATAAATGTTGAATCAAATAAATAGTATTATAAGAAGTTTAACATGATGATGGTCGTAAAAAGACAATATTATAACTGAATGAATTCTACAAACATTATCAGACAATACTGCAACAAACCCTAAAATTGTCTGGCTATTCTGTCAAAACATGCCAAGAGGTTCTTGTTACATTATAAACTTTCTAAAATGGAAAGCGAAAATTCACATGCAGTTGATTTACGTTCCATTCAAAACTCTACATTATTTCCATTTTTTATTGTTTTCATTCACCAATTAGACATACATGTACAAGCAAGGTAATATGGTATGTTCATAAGATATATAAAACCCATCAACCCTATTCTTATTTCAAAATATATATATCCTTCCGCAGTATGAAGTTAGATTAGAAAATATTTACATGTATGTTAGTTTACAATTATACACCCCATCACCAGTTACTATAGCACATAATTTTATATGTATTTGTGAAAAAATTATCTTAAGAGAAACATGCATTCTTCTTATGCTTTATCAGTATAAAATAAAAATTCCAAACATTATAGAAATCTGTGTGCTGATTAACTGAATTGATCTATTAAAAATTTAAGTCTCCTTTTATTAAAAGCATTGATAATGGCTGTGTTGTCACTCCAGTATATATAAATGTCTCTATTCAATTACTTTTGAGCTAATATCATAGTGTAGTTTTTAAATGATCGCTTTTAAACTCTTGCTTAGTTGCTTGAATTTCTTATGTTTACCAATCTGTAAGCATTTCATTGTCTAAAGAGCAAGTGTCATGACTGTATGATATGAACTTTTGTATGAAATAAAGCCTTGTATGATACAATATTACATGTTTTTACGAACACTTGTATGACATATTTACATAAAATGTACCCTCATATTACATATAAAAGTTGTATTAATAAACCCTTGTATGATATAAAGATTTGTATGATATAAACGGTGTATAGGAAGCACATGCATGCTGACATGAAGCAGGACTATAATATTATACCAGGTAATCAGTGTTCCTCATACTCTCATATGAAGTATCAAATAGATAATTATTCCTCTCCCTCTGTCTAAAACATAAATAACAAAAACCCCACCAATTAATATATATCGTATCTCTGTAGTAAATAAGTCCAGCAAGTCATGTCGCACAATATCCATTACTTAAATGTACTACAATTCATTGCATATTCATTAAGGTAATCTCTGAAAATGTTGTATAACTGACTTTACATATGATATAATGCTAACATTTAAATGAAAATATTTATTTATGAGAAACTACATTGTATTTAATTTAGATAAGAATCACAGACAAAAATGTTAAACCATACAAAACCACATCCTTTATTGAAGAACAGGATGTAAATCTGTAATCATATGAACAAAGAAATTGTCTATAGCCAGAATAAAAACCTATTACACCTTACACATGTTTTCAGAATGATATATACCAATAATTCTTGCTACTATCAAGAAAAAACAACCAAATGAGTCAGCTATAATACTCACTGCTTGCCATAATTCTCAAAAGAGAATATTGTAACACTACGTCCTGACATTGCTGTAGATGCACTCATTGCACTATTAACAATAATCATAAACAACTATTCTTGGTAAAAAAAAACACCCAGTTTTTACAATATCACAAACTCATCACGTCACAGGGTCAAAAAAAACTTTGCCTTTTGAAACCCATGTATGAAGTAGGTATAGCACTTGGAATTTACAGTATGATGATGATGGGTTGTATATGTTAATATGTGAAATACCAATATGCAATAACAACTACAGTAAGATGTGTGTGACATATACATTCAAAACAATTATCCATGACTTTAAAGTTTATTTAGGTAAAAAGGTAACCAAAGCTATCTTTTCTAAAATAGTTTCAGTTACTTAACAATAAAATTAACTTACTTCTTACGTCAAAAATTCTTTTAAAAAAAATGCATATATAAAAAGTATCATTACTGAAGCATGAAATTCACTCCCATGTCAATTTTACATTTAACAAGTGCGAGAGTGCGAGTGTTACCACAAAAAATATGTCTAATTCAACAGAACCAGAAAAGCAAAATACACCTCAAAACATAATGTACATGTTTAAATGAACTCACAGCAAAACAGGATAGCTCAGCAAAGGTAACACTGGGTTATTTACTTGTTGATAAATAAAGTGGTTGTATTTACCTCTCAAATTTCTCACTGGTTAACTGTCTACGGAGTCTTTCTACATCACCTTCTAGTTCTACATTACGTGTACGTAACGAGGCAATCTCTCGACTCTGACTTTGGCTGTAATATAAATTAAACATTAAACTGTGGAATAATCTTAAAATCAAGCCACTCTATCATTCACAATTTCTCAATTACTTTTTCAGTTACTTAATTACATTTTATTTCAAGTATATGGTAAAAGAAGACCTTTTGACTTAAACAATATCAAAGAAATGACTATTAGGAGTGTCACGTTTATTTGTTTAAATGGGTTCAGTTGGTTATTAGCGAAAAAACAGCTGAAAGAAATTTTAGATTGGTTTTAAACATTACTCTTGTTTCTTTATGACAAGATATGTCACTCTTCTACCATTCTACAAAATTTTTGGAAATTTCAAGAATTTCAAGATTTGCTGACATTCTCTATTCAGTAACAACTTACATTTTACTCTCATTCAATGACAGTCTATCTTTCAGCATCTGTATCTCAGCACTATGTTCCTGTGTTTGTAATTGTGACTGGAACTCTTTCTCTCTATTATTCTGTAGTAGACCCTCCAGGTTCTTGTTGGATTGGCGCTCGGAGGTCAGCTGACTGCGGTATAACTCACATTCCTGGGCAATATCTTCGGACTGGCTTTGAAGCTGTAAGGGCAATAAACAATGTAAACTTTCAAATAATGAACTATCATTAATATAAATGGAATAAAAGCCCAGAAAATGATCAGATGACAAAATCCTAACAAATTGCACAATGCACTTGATGAAAAACACTCTAAAAGTTTGAAAAAATGATTGAAGTTCCTTGAAAAATGTAGATAGGAAGAGTTATGCACAGAAGAATTTTCTTATGTTCAGCCACTATCTCACCAATTTTCACTACTCTTATAGCCATTAGAAAATCTGGCTGATAGAACTAAATCAATAGCATATGGTATTCCAAACCAGACAATAATACATCACAAACAAACCTGTTCTTTAAAATGTTATGTCTATAAAAGCAGAAATTATTCTAACTAATTAATAACAAACAAACCTGTTCTTTATCAATGGTAAGTGCTGTCAACTGTCTCTGTAGAGATTCTTTAGTTCCCTCAAGTCTTGAGCAGAGCTCACGTACAGCTGTCAGGTCATTGAGAAGTGTGTTCTTGTCATCGTCCGTCTGTCTGAGGTTATCTTCCAAGTTGGCCACACAGCGGGTCAGATTTGATACTTGCAGCTCATAGGCCTGCTCCGCATTAAGATGCTGAAACGTTGAAATATAATAGATATTAAATTTTAATTTCAAACATCTATGAAATTTAAAAACAAGCATATCTTTTAAATTTGATCCAACCTTGAAAATTATCTTTTCCACCTCTGATGATTTGTACTAAAACTAGTAATAACTTGAACATAATTATTTTAAATAATTATATATTTTTTAGCAAAATATAATAGATGCTTTGAATTTATAATGTTGTGTTAATACGTTGATATATCATGTTACATCATGTACAAGTAATGCCTTTCAATGCTGCAACTCTTTATCCTGCATGAATTTTCCATAAAAAAATTTTTTTAAAGGGCATGCAAAATAATGCTCATTCCTGACTAAGACATAAGAAACATTTAGGAAACATACCTCCTGAATTTCTCTCTCATAGTTATCAACTTTGTCCTTGAGTCGTCTAAGTTCTGAGTCTTTGGTCATGATCTCAAGCCTCATGTTTGAGCCCTCGCTCTCCAACTGGTGGGTGGCAGTTTGATATTGTTCAGCCTCAGAGGACAGAGCTCTGTACTGGTCCAGTAAATCAGATCTTTCTTTCTCCTGAAACAAAAAATATAATTATGTTTAACTCAGTTTCTGCATTTGAAAAACATTTTTTAAACAATCACAAAAGTAAAGAGGTTTTTTTATACTTCCAAGTTCTATTAATTATATATTTTCCAACAATGGTATCACCTAGTTTGATTCAAGTATCTTTTAATCCTTTATATAAGAAGTTAGTAAGCTTCTTTTGTCTTAAACAGTTTTTTTCAAATCTCGCAAAAATTTATTCCACTTCCAGTCCACAAATCCATTTTTTTTGCAAGATTAAACATGGGTTCCCTCCAACTCTTACTACAAATAAACCTGTTGAAGTTATATAGATATGCACTACTTCATAGATCTACAAGAAAAGTAAATTTACCTTAGAAGCAAGAACATCTTCAATACTCCTAACTTCCAGTATATATTGTTGAACTTGTTGTTTAAGTCCTTCCTTGTCCTCTAGAGCCTCCTGTAACTCCTGGTTGATTTTCTGTACAAATTATTACATTCTATACATTAAACATGACAATATGTATAGAAAATGTCACTTTTACAGATACTTTACATCTTAAAGTCTTAATACCACTGACATAGCTTGTTTTGTTGATACAATAGTGTTGCAAGATATACCATCTCCTTTTAGTTGTAAATCATAAGTATCAAAGACTTAAATACTTAGAAAAACGTATCATATAACAAGATTTGACAGGAAACTATAAATTATTAGATACAAATTGACAAGCTTTCAAACAAAATGTTGTTTGTATTATTAAACTCCATGCAAAATATCTTACATATACTCGTTTATCTTTCAACTGAGACAAAACCATTTATTATCTCAAGAAAAATTTCAAAATATGTTTGACTGAATGGCGAACAGTGTAGACCATGATCAGACAGCATGAATATGCCAGCTGGTCTTGGTCTGCACTGGTTACATGGGTAGCTTCAGTTTCTGTCAGCAGAGTAAGAGTTAATGGTATGCACTTCTATTATCTTCTATAAATGGTATCAAAAGCTGTATGCCATATCATTTGTAAAATGAGATTTTTGAATGGACTCAGTTGAATGGCATTTAACTTATTCATTGCTGGCAGTTTATATACATTTATATCTATGAATATATCATACATGTAATGATATTTACCTGATTTTCTCTTGTCATAACAGCAAGGTCATCTTGTAGACGTCTATTCTCTCTCATGGCGACCTCTTTACCTCGACTGTTCTCATTCAGATCATCTGAGGTACTGTCTAGCTGCCTCTTCAATGACTTCAACTCTCTATCCTTCATGTTGATGTTATCATTAGCATGGCTATAATATAATGAAATGTCAATTTAAAGTTCATTCTCAACCATATCGTAGATACATCATAAATGAGATCATGCTTATCTTCTCTTTCTCTGAATTTTCGAGATCAAAGTGAACTAGCTGGAATTGATCTTCTTGGATTGAATTTAACTAGATGAATCTAACCATAAGTAGTTTAAGTTTCTATATGAAACTAATTTTATTGGACATTCTAAATATTAAATTCTAACACGACTCGCATTTTCCCTATTGAACATAGAAGAACCGGAAGTGTGTGTTATTATGCAGTAGAGTCACTGTTTGACATTCTATATTTAGACATGTGACGTAATCATTATACACGTGACATAACCACTATAAAATCCGACGCGCTGACAATAAGTACGGAAACAAATCAGGCGAAATTTTGCTTAATAGCAGGAACGGCAGCTTTTATTTGTTTATGTCATGTTAGAATCGAAATAATATATCCAAATCGGTGATTTTATCGCTGGGTAACATCACAGTTTGTCGTTCGGATGCGCATCATTATATCACTCGGGCTACGCCCTCGTGATATAATTCCTCGCATCCGAACTCCAAACAGTGATGTTATTGAGCGATAAAATCACAGTTTGGGATATATTATTTCTTAAATACAGTCTGGTTTGTCTTATTACTGGTGACAGGTCTTTTATGACAACAACTAACAGGCAAAGTGTTAAAGGTGAAATGTCAGATTCTGAACCAATGATATCATATGAAGCTAAACAATCACTATTTTTCTGTCGACCAATTGACGATTCACATGCAAGAGTCAGATTTTTGTTTGCTTAGAATTCACCAATTGCATGCAAGAGTAAGAGATTTTTGTTTTCTATCATAGGACTAGATTATTTCTTTACATCATTTTATACATGCAAAACTGTACTTTGTTTTGAAGAAGAAGAGAATATACAAGTGTATGAGAAAAAATGATTTACAAAATCTTTAAAATTGAATAATAAGAGAAATATTTACCCTAACTGAGCATCAATTTCACTAATTCTGACCTTCAAATCACTGATCAGTTTCTCCTGAAATTGTAAATTAAAATTGTTATAAATCTACACCAAACAAAAAAGAGAAGAGTAAAACTCAAAATTTATTGGAGACAGATTTTTTTTAGACAATCGTGCATTCATATTTTCTTTTACAATTTACAATGACTTGAAAACATAGAAATGTACATCTAGATCATTCTGACTGATTGAAATAAAATCACATATGTTACACATATTCAGGTGATCAAAGTAAGGAAAGGAAGGTGAAAAACAAATTTAGTTGTCCCAAAAGATAAACCAATACTAGCACTTTATCTTTCAGTACTAAAAAAAAAAAACAAACAAACAAAAAAAAACAGATTGCTGTCGAATGCCAATTTCAACTTCAAAGCTTCATTTTTTACAGATCTTAAAAAAAAAGCAATAACAAGAAATACACCTACCTTAAGAAGTACTTCTTCATTGAGGTTGGCAATTTTCTCTGTCTTTTCATCAACACTAATCTGAAGGTTATCCTTCTCCCTATCTAGCTGACTCACAGTTCTTCTGATATCTGAATTTTCATCAGTAGAATGAGATAAAGTTCTCTGTAATTCGGCTATCCTGTCCTCTAAACGAGCACACCTCTCCTCCTGGGCGGCTAACTCACTCTCACGACGTGCCAGACGTTTCTGTGTATCCTCTAAGCTTCTCTCTGTCTCCTCCGCCAACATCCTGGATTATAAACATGTGTCATAATTTACTATACATTACTGTATATCACACTAATATTAGTGTCATGTTAGAATGACGAGCCTATTTATATGTTGTTATGTTTGACTACATTAAAATGAGTTACATATATAAAAAACGTTATCGAAGAACCAGTTCAATTTCTTTATTAAGTGTTTACACAACATTATGTATTAGCTGTAAAAATAATCTTGGTACCCTTGTACATAACTCAATTTTTTTCAAGATAATTGTTAGAGGCATTATGTTCAATAATCACCAGTATGTTTTTTTTTGCAGGTGTTAAAATATAGAATTCTTACAGATTTTGGTATATTGTTTCATGTGAGAAAGTTTAGCTTCCATAGATAAATTTCCAAACAACCCAGAGAGATATGTTAACATATCAATTAGTAATGTTCTTGATATGATATTATATTGTCTAATCATTCATGGGTCTTTAAAACCTGAATATGCATGGAAATTCAGTCTGATTGACAAATTAAGTCTAATTCACCCCAAATATCCTTCATATTAAATAAATAAATGTAGAAAATTACTTCATTTGAGTGGCTTTAGATTTATTCTGAGAGTTATCATCTTGAGTCTCAGTCAGTCTACTAGCCATATCCTTGATCTGTTCCTCCAAACTACGAACATCTTCCTTCAGGGAGTTGACTCGTACAATCAGCTCACCACGCTCATTCTCTGCCTGTGTTAGAGCACTCTCTAAGTCCTCGCCGCGCTGTTCCAACTTGGCCTTCTCTGACAATGATATCTCTGTTGCTATCTGAAAACATTAAAATAATACACTTAGTAGGAACCTTGTCTTTTTACTGCATCATTCTGTTCAAAAGTGGTTACAAAACAGAAATTATTGCATGCAATTTAGATTTTTACTAGTAGTCCGGGATGGTTTGTTTGTTTGTTTGATCGGGTTTTATGTCAAACTGACACAGTTCTAGTCATATGGCAATGTTCTAGGTTAACTGGTGGAGGAAGGCCTTATGTGCCCTTCCTTGTATTATTTTAGGCACTAACAGGCACCTAAGTAGAACCACTAAAGTTCCATTAGCTAGCTGGATAGCTTCCTCACATGATAAGAATCCAAAGTCCCTGTCGGGATTCGAACCCACAATGGTGAGGGGCAAGTGGTTTGAAGTCAACGACCTTAACCACTCAGCCACTGATGCCCCATTCCGAAGTAATACAAAACTTTTATACTATATAAAGCAAGTAACAAAAGATTTCAAGTATCATCTGATAGGTATTTAAACTTTCAAATCTATGGTACGAATTTTCTTTAAAATCATTCTTAAAAAAAATACCTTCAGTCTTTCTCTGAGACTATCACGTTCTGTTGTCATTCTACGAAGTTCAGACACGGCATCATCACGTTCATTCTCAACACGACGTAACACAGCCTGGGCAGCTAATGAAGTTTTTGGTGATTTTGGAGATCTGACAAGCTCACGTCTTACTTTGTGTAATTCATCCTTGGTCTGCATGAGAAAGATACCATTTTAAATATACATTATTATTCACAAAGGTCTGTATGCATAAAAAATGTATTACTTGCAGTAAACAGCTTCAGAAAGTTGTTAGTGTTTTAATACATTATTTAACATTTTATCTCTTCTCTGCATTTATCCCTTGTTTTAAAATGAGTATATCTTCAGCAAAATGAAATACAAATGATGGCCCGAATAAATATCTGATTTTTTTGGGGGGGGGGATGGCTCACCGACCCCACTGCACCAATTACGGGGAAAATAAATGGGCAACCTATGTTGCTGAAAAATTAAAAAAAAAAAAAATCAAAAGAAATCTGATTTTTAGAAAGATATTACTTGATATTTATGATACAGTTTAATAAAATCCAACAAACACGATTTCAAATTATGCATCCATCTTCCAACAAAGTTTTAAACACTTAAGATAAACTTTAAATGTATCTTATAAATGTATTTTGTTTGTAATCCTAATAGAAATCCGATAAGCATACATGATTGCGTTATAATCATAACTGTTCTATAGATAAGATATTTATGCTAAATTAGTGTTACTAAGGCAACATTCAAACCTTTTTGTTATTTTTATGTTTCTTTCTGTTCAGGGAACTTAATTGAACATAGGTACATGCATAAATCATTAAAATGTTATACCAAAATAGGAAAATACTGCTATTAACACTATTACATTACCTCTTCATACATCTTGTTAAGTTTGTCTCTCTCACCAGTAAGTACCTTCACATTAGCTTGGATCTGTTATTAAAGAAAGATAATCTAAGTTTGTATGTGTGTAAAACTATAAACTTACTTAAATACTCTTAAATCATTTTATTTCAAAGGCAAGTGATGGCTATAAAAGAACAACTTTAAAGGAGGAATATAAAACAGCTAAAAATCATAGGGCAACTTCAATATAAAATGAAAATGAATAAGTACAACTCGAAGTTGTTTCAAGTAATATCAGTCATGAATTTTAAAGATCAAGCACAAAAATAGGTTTTATGATAAAAATAGTTTTACTTAAGCTTTCAATGTAATTAAGAGTAAAGTAACATTTCATCAATAAATTAAAGCCTCCATGCATTGACATTTTTGCTTAATTCCAGGAATCACTCCACAATTTACTACTTAGAAACTTTATAACTATTCAGTATATTTACTTGGTTCAGTAAATTGCTACATGTGACTCATATAATTCAAATTTCAGAGGCTTTCTTAACTATGTAGAATTCTCATTATTAATCAAGCTATAAGCCTGGTTTGAGCCAAGAAAATTTCACAAAGTAAAGTAATATCTTACCTCTGCCATGTGACGTTCAAACTTGTCAAGTAGCTGTCTCATCTCATCTCTTTCCCGTCTCAGCTTCTCCACATCCTCTGTCATACCCTGTAAATATATAATACAGTGAAACCTGTCATAAACATAACCTTATGATAAGACCCACTCTGTCTTTACAAAAGTAAATTATACTGTACAACCTCTGCATTGGAACATCCTTTGGGTGACAAAGATCTTAGTCCCTTGCTGAGGTTTTGCAATATAAAGGTATAGTTTAACGTGAAGTTATACTTAGGGAAGAACTGATATTAATATTGAAAAGAGGTTATTGTTCTTTAGAGGACCACTCTGCAGAGGTTACACTGAAAAAGTGCAAAATAAAAGCCATATATATCATTTATACCATTTAAAGCCATATTATTTTTTTTATATTTATATAATAGTAAAATAATAATATTTTGTTTGGGGGCCTGTTACCATTTTCATTGAATTCATGATTAAAATATTTGTTGGCAGCCAACTTCAATCTTTACTAAAGTTTGCTTGACATGTGTCAATCTCAAAAATAAATCGTAACAAAGTATGTCAGTTCAATTTTCTACAATGTAGTATACTTTAATTTAATTCTAAACATCTATTTTGATTGAAGCATCGAGCTTTATTGCCCATAAAACCAAATGATTTCCCATCACTACTTTTCAAATATATCATTCTCAACTTGAATTAATGAAACAGTTGTGCATCCTATCATTATTTCACATTAATTTCTTTTCAAACCCTGGGCATATTTGTGTAGGTGTATTATGCACTTTACATATTGTGAATTCATGTTTATATTGTAGGCAAAACTTTTTATAAATTCAAATCAACTCTGAATATAATTATGAAGAAAACTAATCTGTCCGCAGTTCTCATAACCAGGGCTGTTGCAAAACAGTACATCTCATATTTTTTCATAGTCCAATATCTAAATACACACATTACATGATAAATAATATTCATAGAAATTATACTGTAAATTATACCTGCAGTTAAGCTTAAGAGAAATTCAACTTACACAGGAAAAGAACAGCACATAATCTTATTATACAAATCTACGAAAACACACAAATTAGAGAACTATTTCTTTCAGTAGTCACACTTATTTTGATTACAAAAAAAGAAATAATACAATCACAAAGAATGCAAACATACAAACATAAAACATGGTAAAATATATTAACAATTAACATACAAATCTAAACAAACAAAAATTCTGGTGTAAAAAATGAAAAGTTTTTTTACACATCTAAAAATGTACGGCTAACTATAAAATAAAAACTGATAAATAAACCTGCCACCAAAGGCAAAGAGTTGTTCTAAATAATGCTAAGCTGCATTAATGCCCAGTGTTAGGCAACATAGAAAATTAGCCACTTTGTTTCTCTTATACAGAAATTGAGTATCAATCTTTTCCCCCTTTCTACCTTACACAAATATTACTTTTGTTATGACAGTTTCTAAATGGACTGGTGCTTTGTTTCATTATTAAATTTCTCAATGAATCAAACCAGTCTTAAGAGTTTTAACATATATATGTACATTGTTATCCATTTTTAGGGGTTTCATTTTGTTTGAAAGAAGATGGGTAGTTTATTAAAGTGGGGTAGGTACAGTATATAAAAGCCAGGCAGACAAAAATGTAAAAGAAATGACCCAAAGTAGGCAGGTGCTGCAAAGCATGCTTCAGGGTGTTTTAACAGACTACCATAATGTAATATCTTAATTTATAATTTTATTATACACATGTTGCAGTGACTACATCATACCTCTATTCTTCATGAGACAATACTCACATGTGATCCACATGTACTTAACCAAAATTTCAACCTTAACAGGCACCTTGTCATAAATTAGCTTTTAACCAGTTGATTCTTGAATGTATAGGTGAGGAAAGTTTATATTATATTAACAGTACAGACTTTAGTATTCAATCTGAATAAGAAACAACTCTAGACAAAGTGAAAGCAACAAAAAGCTTGTGTCAGTAGTTTCTTTCATTATGTATAAAATACTTACAAACTTTTTAAGCTTATTTTCACTGTCCTGTCAACATTGAAGAGACAGAAAAAAAGTTATATAAAATGAATACATTGTATCTTCATTGTAACTTTTAATTGGAACAATGGTTTATTTTAAAGTGTTTCAATTTGTTTTTGGCTTTTTTCCCCTATTTTCTGACAGATTAGTTTTTGTTTTAATGGTAATTAGATGTAAATATCTCCCCTGCTACTGGATTATGTGACTGAACTGAACTTCTTTAAGAAAAAACTGACAAGTCTAATCAAGTCTAAATTACTCTTATCAAGAATTGTTGGTAAAGAATGGGTTAATTTAAGACACCTTTTTAGTCTAAACTATATGTCCAGGACGACTAGATACCATTTGCCATAGAAAAATACACTACACACATAATAATAAAGTTTAACCCATACCCCACCAATTTATATAATGGATTTGCCCGGCTTTTAATTAGGAGCAGTCCATTTGAATTATGAAGTAATTTCAATAAAAAAAAATCTAAAATTAAGCTGCCTATAGTATAAAGCCTGATTAGACTACACTGCTGGCCTCAGTCTCAATACCAGTTGCAAAAAAGCTAACCACTTTCGCTTGTAATATGTTAAAAGTTAAATCATTACCATCATTTCCTATGATATTCATTCTATATACAAATACGAAGTTTGTACACCAGTCTCAGTTCTAACATCTGTCATTGGTTCAATTTGAATCTAATTAGCCAATCACAAACAAGGTAATAAGACTTGTCATTGGTTTAATTTGAAACTAATTAACCAATCACACACAAGGTAATAATACTGATTCCCTGGAGTCATTCAACTCGAACCTATAACTGACTAATATTTCAAAGGCCATGAAATTTTGTATAAAGTACAGAAAAAAAAAACCCATAAAAATTAATTCTTTTCTTTAACCCTGCACCATTGTGTCTCCTTATTAATTAAATCAGTCCAAAGATATAAAAGGAAGGAAGCATAACCAGAGAGAAAATGATCTTATAAATCTTCGTTATAGAATATTTTGCATGGTGCACTTAGTTTTGTTACCAAGTCTTTAACTATTATGACTCAAACCTTATCATAAACCAGTTGTAACAGGCTTGATTTCATATTTAGCTCTTGATGCGTCGGAATGTGAGATGTGCATGTCTCATAGTGTCCTACTGTGAAACACAGTGTGTGTGTATACATGTACAAAGGTGCAAATGGGTCCCAAATTTTGGAAAAACATGAAAACCCTGAATTTAGCATTATTTTAATTGGTTTTATATAGTGAAAGGGTGCTTCAGCAGTATAAAAGAAACTTGAACTTCAGGCAAATGCCTGAAACATTGTACCCATGCATGTATATTACTCCAAAACTGTTTTGTTGTGCTTTTGACATACCATTATGTAACTATACTCATACTGACTCTAAAATAATGGCAAACAAAATAATATAACAAATATGTATACTTATACATATCCCACACATGACAGTAGAATTTTTTTTAATATATGATGAAAGATGATTAATGAAACAAAAATAAATGATATACATTTGAATGAATAAATTTGTCTATATTTTGATAAAAGAATGTAAAATATATATGCTGATTGTACTGTGCCATTCAGTTTCTATTGTATGAGATTTCAAAAGCCTACTATGTATAAAATATCCTATGATATCAAGCACTTTTCATACAACCTTGTATGTTATGTTTTGAAAAGGATAAGGGTGTATTAATTATCAAATTAGTAATAGGATGAAAATCATATAATGTTCAAACTCATGTAAGTCTTATTAAAAAAATCAAGATTAATTTCAAACAAAATTATTTATTAAGATTAAGATTTCCTCATAAAACTTGGTATGAAAATGTTATAAAAAAGGCAGGAATAGATGAATGCCTGGGTAAAACTGGGCTGATTTTTTATGATTATATGAATGAAAGGGAAAATAGGGCAGTTTTGAATTGTATACTTACAAAACGCTTATTGTTAGTCTCAAAAGTCTAGAAATAGTAATAAACATGTAATGATATGATGATACTAAGAAAGGATAAAATAATAACATGATAGTTTAATAACATGACAGGGTAATGCCATGATGATATAATAACATGACATAAGAATGAAATGATTACATAATGCCAAGACAGTGCAATGACATGACAATATAAAATCATGGCATAGAAATGACATGAAGATATAATGACATAACAGAACAAGATGATATAATGACATGACAATATTATAACATATCAATGACATGACAGGGCAATAGCATAATGATATTATGACATCAAGCTTCAATCAAACGATTCATAGTTCAATGTACTGGCTTCATCCTGTCATGACAAGTAGTTCAATAGAAATTGTGAGTAAAAGCTTTCGATAGAAATCACTTTCCTATGTTAAATCACAGTAGAAAGAACTAGTAGAACATAAGCAATTAACCATAAACTTGCCCTAAATCATTGGAGCAATAAAATTCTAAAATTTTTAGAAAAACAAACCCATCTAAATTGTTAAATGTAAATTTCAAGAGAAACAAGGCATATTTTTCTAAATAAAGACATTTGATACTAACAATCTTACAGTTTTAGCCTTCAGGTCAATGTCATACAACATATAGAAATATACATTGATATATAAATTATAAACATATACAAAATACCTTTGTAGGAGTGGCTCGTGCAGATGCTGCTCTCTTGGTAGCCTTGATGATCTCGTATTCGTTCTTGTAATAGTCTCTCTCCTCCTCCAGTACCCTCATAATGGCCTCATACTGAGCAGCAGCCTGCAATACATTTAATGTCATAAAATGTCAGGTAAATGTAAATTGAATATAATAAATACACAGGCACAGAAAAATAAATTTCTTCTGTTCAGTATATGATTGTAAATATTGGCCATATGCACCTTTCAGGTGTTTAACGCTTAATAAATGTTTGTTGTTGTTGTTTTAGCTGCTCTTATGTATAACTTTCAATAATCTTGCCAAAGTATAGCTTAGAACACATAAAAAATTTTGTAATAAATGAAATGTACCTTCTTGTCTGCCTTAGCCGAAGCGTTGAGTTCCCGGGCAGGACTTGCTGACCTAGATGAAGGACGTGATGGCGTTCTTGACCGTGGGGGACTTCGTGATCGAGATGGAATATCGCCACGTAACATTTTCTGGAAAGCCTCTGCCTGATCCCTGTAGTAGTTTCTCTCTTCTTCAATGCTTCGTACAAATGCATCAATTTTGCTCGATACTTTACCTTTTTTGGCAGCACCAGCCGGTCCATTCTTTCGCTTTAATCTTTCTATTTCAAGTACCAATTCTTTCTCTGAAAACGATCATAAAAATGATTTCTTAATTTCTAATATTACTTCATTTTTGAATCTTTCAAAGCTTTATGTAAGCAAAAAAGAATTCTTAAAAGGAGAGCTATTTTACCCTACAATCCACTAGTCAGGTTATGAATGCATTGCAATACAAAATTAAGTTATTTAACTGTATCAATATCATAAACTGCAGATTTTTTTTAATTGCACCAATGCAGTATAGGTCAAATGGCCACTTTCCAGCTTTTCTGGTGGAGGAAGACCTCAGGTTGCACTCTGTGCATTATTTCAGGCACAAATGTGCACCTGACTGGGTAGAACCACCGATAAACTGCAGATAAAACTAGGACAGTCACTCTTCAAAGTATGCTTGGCACAAATTTATTCATGTTTTTTTTACCCTTACTGTCATTGATGAGAAATTTAGTGAAGTTGGAAATATAGGTTGTTTTTTTTTTACATTTAATCCCTGATCATGAAAATGCTGTCAAATAATGTACTGTTTTATCGGGTGTGGGTAATTCATTGTACAATAAATTTAACCATGGCCAAATAATTATGGTAAGCATTACAAGTGTATATTTTTACACCCTTAACTCATTATCTTTATCAAAATAAATTTTATAAGGTAGCATGGCCAAGTGCTTAATGCATTGGACTAGTAATCTAAGGATCTCTAGCTATGTGGGTTCAAACCCTGTCAGGGGTAAGCTGTCGTTTCCTTAAGCAAGAAACTTTACATTCATTGCTCAGTAATGAAAGGTTCCAGAAATGGATTCAAGAGTATGTCTATAAGCTTACAGCTTCCAACAAAATCAAACTCGAATAAATTCTGTTTAAACTAAATAATTCTTTTTTTTTACATAGGAAAACACAAGAATAAACTACAAATATGAAATGTCAAATGTTCAAACATACCATTGGCCATTAATTTGTTGACGCGATGACTTAGACGTTTTTTATCCTCCGCAACTCGGTCATGTAACTCTTCCAATCTCATTAGGTCACTAGTTTTGGTCATGAGTGTAGATTTGGTTTCAGTAAATTCTTTAGTTAATCGGGCATTTTCCTGAAATTAGGTAATAAAATTATAATACTCCTTAAAACAAAAAATTAGGTAATAAAATAATCATACTCCTTAAAACAAAAAAATAGGTAATTAAATAATAATAATCCTTCAACAAAAAATCAGGTAATAAAATAATAATACATCTTAAAACAAAAAATTAGGTAATAAAATAATAATACTCCTTAAAACAAAAAATTAGGTAATAAAATAATAATACTCCTTAAAACAAAAAAATAGGTAATAAAATGATAATACTCAAAAAATTAGGTAATAAAATAATAATACTCATTAAAACAAAAAATTAGGTAATAAAATAATAATACTCCTTAAAACAAAAAATTAGGTAATAAAATTATAATACAATGTACTCCTTAAAACAAAAACAAATCTTTGAAATTATTGCAAGCATCAACCCAACAATATGACTTAGGTCTTGAATATTACATTCTTTGTCATTGACATTTTTTTAATAAACTTACTGACGTAATGAATTTGCAATGAAAACGAATGTTTCTGATAAATTTGTTTATCCTGGTCTCCATGATAATCTTTTGAATGTCAGAAACAATCATAAAAATGTCAGTCCTTTGTCACCACAAACGCCTGCACTATACAAGAACATCTGGTGGTACGCTCTGCTACCACATGGTAAGTTAAATCCAACACCTTATTAATGTTAACGCCAACACCAAATATATATATTTCAGTTTAATGTACTTTTACAACAAACAAAAGTAACTGATTATTACAACACTGACGTTGTCAAGGAAGTTCATGACGTCATGACGTCGTGATGATGTCATAATAACATTACTTCTACATCATACTGCTTTTTTTTTAAATTAAAGTTTCAAAGTTTAACAAAATTTACCAACCAAATATTAGATGAAATTAAAATTTTCAACTGATAAAATACCATGTGAATGACTTAAAAAAGGTCAAAGGTGTTGGCAAATTTCAATACCCAACTGCTACAAGGTAGATCATTTTAAATAATAAATATGTATCTAATTTTCATTAATTTTAGCTTTTTAAATTTTATAAATTGTTTCTGATTTAGTATTAAAGTATTCACTTATTTATTTTTTTTGTGTTTTGTTTGTTTGATTTTACAGCGCACAAACACAATTTAGGTCATATGGTGTCAAAACAGGAAAGATGATTTTGACTAACCTTCGGAGTTAAAAACTTAAAGCAACACCAGGAGTCAAAACCACCTCACTTGCTGGAGCTAAGAGAGGCATAGACTCCTGTAATTTTAACCCATTTAGTTGCCTCTTATGATCACCTCTGAAAGGGTGACTGCAATTCTGATGCCTCAACCCATAAAGGCAACCCTTTCGACACAAGGTGTAGTCTACTAATGAATTTAACATATAAATAATCAAACCTCTGATCATATCCTACTCAGTAGAAAGCAAGTTTTGCAGTTTTGTGAAACTTTTTATCTCGAGGCCAATTTATAAATTGCTTCTAGATAAAAAGAGTTTTGAATTTCAATTTTAAAATTGATTATGACTGTAAAATATGCTAAGTTTTCATAGGAGAATTTGTAAATTGGTTTACAATGCCCATTTACTTACCGCTCGTAATTGTGCAATTTCAACATCTAAATCTTCCATTTCATGTCGAGATTTTTCTAATTCACCTTTGGCCTCTTCCATTTCACGATCAGCTGTTTTTAAAACAATAGATTTATCAGTTTCTAAACGCTTAGCATGTCTATCAACACTCTGAAATTCAAGTTCAAGGTCACTCATACGAGCTTTATACTTAGAGAGGTCTGTTTCAACTTCTGCTCTATCAGCAACAGCATCTCTGAATTTCCTTTCCATTTCTCTATTCTTCTGCTGCAGGAAGTCAATCTAAATGAACCAAAAAAACATAAAACTTGTTTTTATCTAAGTTGATCATATTTATCATAATAATGTAAATCTAAGCATAATGACATATGACAATATTACATTATCAGCCATAAATTTAAATTCCTTTTTAAAGAATAAAGTTGTAAATATACATTTATAATACATTTTATCGCTAATTTAATTACGCCATGGTCATAGATTTACATATAGCCAAGTTTAAATGCATTTATACTAGAAATCTAATCAGGGCCTGCAAAAATCTGATTTTGACTAACTTGTCCATTTTTATCTGAAGCATTTAACTTGTCTGAGCAAATTCTTGAAAATTTCCACTTGTCCATACAGGCTTTGGGACAACCTGGGCAAAACAGACAATTGATTTTGCCACCCCTGAATCTAATTCTACCATACCATATCTGACTTTGATGATGATAAAGAAATGTTGATTAATTCAACAACCACATTATCAGTTATAATGTTAAAGGAAATTACCTGTATATTAAGATGTGAGATCATCCTCTCGTTGGCTCTGTTGCGGGCCTCGAGGGCCACAACATCCGAGGGTCGTCCGCCGTCTAACATTCTGTGCAATCTCTCTATTTCCTCATCACGTCCTTCAACCTACAATATAATAAAAAAAACAACATCATGAATATTGCTTACAATCAGTTCTTATGATTTGTGTAATGAGATTTATTTGGACACATTTCAGCATCTTAACATTAGGTCTCATTCAATATATATGGTCGACCAATGATGACTTAGCTAAAACAGTGGCCATTGATAAGGCAACATCGAAAGTCCTAAGTCAGACATATATTTAAATAGCATCTTTATTACAACTATCTAACAATGGAACTAATAATCATAATAATTTACAAAAATTTTTATATGTACCCTATTTAATGCATTCAATACTAAAGGAAAATGCTCTTTTTCAGTATGTTTGTTACATGGGATAAACTTTCATTTCATAAAACAAACATTGCTTACTCAAATCATTATTTTAAGCTAAAAACAAACACGTCATCAAGACTCTTTTATCCTATTTACAAATTGTATTTGTCAATAATTGAAATATTGGTTAGTCGGCATGAAGCATTTGCCATCATAATTAATTCCTTATCATATAAACTATTGGCTATTTGTAGCTACATGTATTCATTGTGTGACCTTGTATATAATTACATTATAAGTGTAAAAGACTGTGGCACCAAATCAATAGAAAGAATGCAGATCGTCACTGAATATGTCACAAAATATCAATTACTAGAATGAAGTTATAGTGTCAGTGACATACTTTAAAGGCACATTATGCCTCAGACACAAATAAATTTTTACTTCTTTAGAAATGGCAAGCATGAACTTTATAAAGATTAAGTAGTTGTTTTAGACTAATGTTAGATGCTTGTTAACCGAAAAAGGTAGCAATATAATGTGAAATAATTTGTCAAAAAAGTAGCAAAATGTAAACAAAGTAGTATTTTGACTTCCATACAAAATACTAATTCAATATAATTGTACTTATTGCCAAAAAGCAAGTGATGAAAAACATGGTTACAGTAATTGGCCAACTATAAACGTACGCCAAAATTAAAATACTTATGAGAAATGAAAATAAAAGCATTTCTGAGGCATAATGGGCCACTAAATGTTTTAACCGTTATTGTCATAAAAAGCTTTAAAATGATTGCAATAAAATATTCCTTAGGAAAACTCAAGTGTAAGAGATTATAGACAAAGTTTATTATCATAACTATCCCATGCTTAACTCTTAAAAGACGTTCTTTAAACTTTAAAGACAGCTTTGTTCCATATTTGTATGTGTTCACTGATCTACGTGTTAATAACTTTTTCAAATGATTTGAACAAAAGCAAAAGTTTGCCTCTTACAAAGATCTTATATTAAAAAAAAACAAACATTATACACAGTAAGTAACATTATTATATTATCAGAATGAACTCATAGATTATCTCATAACAGATAGTATCAATATCAAGGCTGGTGTGATTTTTCTTTATCATAAGAACATTCTGACAGACTCAAAGTGTACATAATTGAAGTGCTCTCCATACTAACCTTGGATACCAGCAATAAATTGCAATAAAATTCTTGTTAAATATAAACCTCTAACAAGTTGTACTTAATTCCCTGATAAGGCTTTGCCTGTGCACATCAAGTATAGAGCCTGGTCATCAAGCTGACCATGTAGACCAGACACTATTATACTCTATATACTGACATCAATATACCTTTATTTAACAATGGACACTTCCCAGTTCAAAGATGGACAATAACAAATAAAGTGGAGAAAATTTTAATCAAGTCCAGTTATACCAAACTAAGTGAAGAACATTTTAATCAAATCCAGTCATACCAAATTAAGTGGAGAAAATTTAAATTAACTGTATTAAATCACAATATCATAATAGTAAATGAAGACTAAATATTGACGATGAATTTTCATTTCACCCAACCTTTAATCTACAATATATACATTTATTTTTTAAATCCAATTTCTAGGCTGTAAAAAAGCATATATCTATTCCCTATAACTGTAATACATTATTTAAATATTTACCAAACCTTTAATCTGTTTATTTGTTTCACAGTTAGCTTAAGATATTAGAAACGCACCATAAAAATGAGGGAGGAGGGAAATAAAACTTGAACCTGTAAGCATTCCTTCAATGAGCAAGGTTAAACATGTTTTAAGAAATTTGTGTTAAGCATTTTATATACAAAATCAACATAATTTACATTTGAATTGATTTTCAAGTCTTTATTGCATACGTAAACTGAAATATTTGAGATAAGTCGAGCACAGTTAGAAATGGAAAAGATAAGTAGTTTAAAGGCACTCAATGATTAATTTAGAGCACTATCTCCGCAAGAAAATTTGTATACTAGCTACTTGAAAGTAGAGTTTACCTCTTCTGTTGAAATGTTTGATTCTAAAACTGAATTTAAGCAACTGTTTAAAAGGTATACCAGTAACTTAGCAAGGCAAAAATCAAACCTGTTTAAATTTTTGAAATTGTCTGACTGTAAATTTTGTGATTTGATAAAGCAAAATATCTATGTGTAATGAAATAATCAATATGAGAATTCTTAATAATATTTTAGTTTTTATTTTAAGCATGAAATGGCTACTTTTAATCATGTTCAACTACATATACTTTTTCAAACTATATTTATTCATCAACAAGTGACGTCTAAGATAATTTAGAACATGCAATTACTTAAAAACTACAGTCATTTTTTTCAGTCAAATTTTGTCTATAAAGTGTTGAGGTCTTTTCAGAATATACCATCACAAGCTAATTTCTATCTAGAATTCAAATTAGAGATACAATCTCAATTGAAGTGCAGTAATTTAATACTAGATTAGTATATGACCAAAATTTTATGCCTATTGTTTTTGCTTACAATGCATTAATTGTAATGTCTGTAAATTTGGAATATCAAATCACCAATATAGTAAGTAATAATAGTAGTAGTAGAATATCAAGGGGCTCTCTGAAAAAAACAATATGTCAGTAAACTAACGTGCCTTGTAAAATATTTGACATGTTAATTACTATATTTCATGTCCTGAAAACCAGTGCATTACTTGAAATTGTTATGTTTTAAAAGTTTCACAAATTACTGAATTTCTGCATTATAAAATAATCTTTTACAACAGCTTTTATTTGGAGTAAAATTGTTGTCAATAAATATTCAATATTAATAATATTGACAAACTATAAGGCTCCTTAGAATTGTATAAACTGGAGGAGAAATTTATATATTGTAATACATGAATGTCTGAAAACTGTCCATGTTTACTTAAATTGTGACCATCTTTCAAAGGTTTAATTCATTGTAATATTCAATATTTGTAATACATGTTGCTAACCATATAGAATTTCTCTAAGTCAAAATGATTAAGTCCAAGAAATCTACTGAATTTTGCGCAAAAAAAACATGTTGTATTACAATTTAAGCTTCCTTTAAATGAAAGAGTGTAAGTATTATATTATTTAAGCAATTGTAAACATATCGGATTTATACATTGAACAGAGTTATACAAGATAAGCCAGAATACTGTTGATTCCAGCTAACAGCCTATACTTGCAAACTTTGATTTTAAGTTCAATCAAGGAACTAAAGTTAAACGATGAGCATTAATTGTGGCATAACAAGTTTAAGGACTGATACAAAAGAGCATAATGAGCTACTATAATTATGTTATTTCAAATATAAAATATGAAATTCCACATGAACAATTCCTGTAAAAAAAGAAGTTCCTTTGAAAAACAAGCTACAATGAATGTTCATAATTCTAACCGAGTGCTATTGAGCTTGTAATGGCATCAACTGGCTCTTTAAGACCAAAATCAACCAGCACATCATGATCTGCACTGTTCGCTATTCAGTCAATAATTATTTTGAAATTGTCCGTAAAAAAGATTAATGATTTTGTCAAAGATTGACAGAAGGACAAGTTCATTTAAAATATTTAGGGTTAAACTATACATTCACTAGTTGTTTTCTCTCATTCTCTATAATTCCCTTCATTACAAGACATGGATTTTTTTATTCACCTTAAAAGGTCTGCAGCCTTAACAGAAAAAATCTATTCATGTTAAATGGTGTTAACAGATCATTAAATTAAGCCATTAAGGTAGTTTACAGTAATCAAATAATTTCAATACTATTTTGGCACCTTCTCAAGACATTTTCTGTATTATCAAAGATAATGTTTGTATATAAAATCAATATGAAAACTCTTTTGACTATTCAGCACTTTAAATACCGTACTAGACGTTAAATTACTGCCTTAGAAAAAATATTTATGTAAGCAGAAACTTGTTATCTGTGTTTTTTATATCCTATCATAAAAAGTTTGTACCTATCAACAGTAATAAATTAATCAACTTTTTACTGCTCTTTAAACAAGTATCCCAATGGTATCATTAAGTACAGTTAAGCTCCACTTGGTTTGTTTAAATATTATATATTTTAGGTTGTTTGTCAATCAGTATTTATTTTGAAATTTCCCCAAAAATGATGATAGTTTTGTCCAAATTAAAGGATGGACAGGTTTATTTAAGATATTTAGTATGGTAAGAGTTAAATATGGAACTGTCAATTACAAATTAGAGGATTTCAGTATCAAAATACTGGAATTCAGCAGCCAGGAAGACAAAAATACATAAGCTGACCAGGCTCTAGATTGTTTTACCATGTACCAACACAATTTTGGTCATATGGTGCCGAATCACGAAATAAGGGTGTAGACTAGCTGCACATGCTAAATTCTATTACCACAAGGGCTCAAACACCTGTTATAAGAATTAGTTTTTTTTAACTATCCGGTTAGCTCAACTAGTTAGTTGATTTTCAAAGGTCACTTTTGCTGTGATTGTTCATGAAATCTCTTTAACAGTCATTCGTACTGTATGAACAGAAGTTTCATTTCCTTGAGAAAATGAAAGCAACTACGTAGTACCTGTAAACTATCTGACAGCATGCCCAGGAACGATGCGATAGCTGAACTGTGATCTAGTAAATTCAATGCGACTCAGGAGGGTAAAATATCAACTTCACCACAGAACATGTTTTTAATGCCAAATTT